TCACTCAAAGATTTTTTACTTTTTTGAGACACTTCTTGATCATTTTGAAGCGTGATTTTTGTGTAGGACTTCAATATTACACCATATCACAGACACTGATGACACGTAGGGCCGTGCATCTAAGATTATAACATTGTTTAACGATGCCTTTAAAAGCCACCTTTCTAAAGTAGTTGCCTTAACAAAAAAATTAAAACAAAGAATATAAAATAAAGTCAAGCCTTGTTCATCATCGAAGTGTGCGAATAGTGCAATGACGTATTGCGTAACCTAAAATTCTTTCTACGGTATTAACAAAAGTAGGATATTGAAGAGCGCCCTCAAGATGTTTTCTCGAAAGTATTTGAAACGGTGCGAAAGGGATATGTACTGAATATGTTGACATTTATTTATTCAGTTATTTATTCAAGTTTTATTTAAAATAGAGGGTAGTAAAAAAAAAAACCTGCTTTCCACATACGCCCTCTATGATGACATACATGTAACACACATGATGGTGATATACAAAACTACAAGAAATACATGAATATAACATTCATGAAAGGTAACTGTTCCTCCATGTCTTCAATCGTATAGTACTTTGATCGCCTTTACAGACAGGGTTGATTTTATTTGCCAGCCTCTTCATAATGTAGATGTGTCGTGATCTAGAGGATACGTCTTCAGACTGTGGATCACATTCATGTGTCGCGCTCCGAATCCCGCCGCGGCACTAGTGTCCTTTGGCAAGACATCAATTTACATTTGCCACTCTCCACCCAGGTTTTAAATGGTTGGAAGGAATTCCTTGAAAGCTATGGGCACCGAAATCGGTAACCCATCTACAGCCCTGGTAAATACATGGATACGATCACATTGAACATCTTTCGTGGTGGATATGTGCGCCAGAAACATAAACATTACTACTATCTATATTATTATTGTTATTTTTGTTATTATTATTATAATAATCAATACTTTTAATATCATAATTAATACTACTATAATCATTATTATGATCTTACCTGCCCCGCGGATGGCGTCTTGCAGTGCAACGGCGTCTGCCTCGGCGTCGAAATCCTCCCACTCTAGGATACATCCCTGGATAACAATATCATGAATAAAGAATGCATCAACAACAATCACAGATGGCGTAGGTGTGACAAGACATTAAGAACAGGCCGGGGGAGGCAGTAGTAGTTCTAAATGAGGGATTTGGGCCTCAATACAAAAATATCGTCAGCTCCTCTCCCCCTCCCCCCCCCCCCTCCCGAAACAAATAGAAAGAAAAGAATAGATGTATAGATAAATGAATACAAATAAATAGATGAATAAGTTAATAAAAAAGGTATAAAATATATATCAACAAAATGATGTTGGGTTCCTCTTTCAATTCCTAGCTAATTCTTCTCGGTTTTTCTTACTCTTTAAAGTTGGGTCGGTTATATGCTGAGGGGCCATTTTGCGAGAGGAAGGAGGGGGGGGGGCAGGCTGACGCCTTCTTCCTGAATATCAAGTCTTCGGTTCCTTCATTTTCCCCGCGCGATCGAAGTGAGCACACATAAGAATTGACACTTTTTGTGTAGTTAGAATATTTGTGGAATACCTACTCTCCGAATAAAAAACTATTCGGGCACTCCGCTGCCCGACCAAAATGACAGACGAAAACCTCGCTGCCCAAAAGTGAGGACATTCATGCATTTTGCTGCCTTCGAGAATTCCAGGGGCTGCATCCCCTAGCACCCCACCTCATATGCCTATGTGCAAGATATTACTTTTAATGAACCACGTGCATCATATGCATCTTTAAATGATTTTACTTCCTCATGTTACCACGGATAACATTTTACCTAAAGAGATAGGAGAATGTAATCATTATTGACAGAGCGTCTCGACCGAGGGTTAATGATGTTAATAATATATAATTATTAATGAGATTAATCGAGTGCGAGGGGATGGGAGGGGAGGGGTCAAAAAAGCGCAGATATCCAAAGGGCAACGTGAAAAGTGGTCCGATATTAGGCACTGAATATTTAACACAGTCAACCTTTGTGTCTTTGTGTAGACCAAGTTATAATAAAACGGATAGTAGATTCGGTTGATAACTTTGACAGCATGGTTTGGCGGTTTCAAAAATATTAATGACATTAATTTTGTATCATCAACCCCATTAACATTTTAAAAAATGACCGAATCATATAGCATAGCAGCAATGCGATTATCACTATCGTCTTGATATAATTAAGATGTTTTTCAAATTCATCGTAAGCACCGGGCACCAAGGATTCCCTGCCGCTCTTTGACACCCTCTCGTTCCCTTTGTCATATCCTTCTTTCTTTATGCTCCTTCCAATCGAAACCTACTCCTTCCTCTCTTCCTGCTCCTCCTCCTGCTCCTCCTCTTCCTTCTCCTCCCCATCATCATCAACGCCACCACCATCATCATCATCATCATCCTCATTATCACCATTATAACCATCATCAACGTCAACATCATTTTCATCATCATCGTCATCATTATAATCATCATAATCATCACCCCCTTGTATTTCTTATCCCTCCCCCTCGACTTCTCATCCTCCTCCTCCACCCCAACCTCTCCTTCTCCTTCTCTCCCGGCCCCTGCTCCCCCCTCCCATATTCCCCTATTTCCATATTTCCCCTCTCTTCCTCTCTCTTTTCTTTATCACCACCCCTCATCATTTCCCGCCCCCTCCCCTCGTTTCCTCTGTAGTCATATCATTATTACCACTTCATCATCATCATCTCATACGTCACGTTTTGATAGCAATGACGTCATCATCATGCCGCACAGAAATAAATAATAATTGAACAAATATTCTTACCAAAAGCTCGAGACCAAGATCGGCACGGGCCAATCGGTACTTGATGATGTACTGTCAAAGAATAAAACAAAGGAAAAACAGTATAAGTCAATGATTAATAACAGAGGAAATAAAATCTTCAAAAGTAATGTACATCTTGTAAGTCCTTCAGTGCAAACATACACAAAATAAAAATTAGATGTAGTCAGTAGAGGAGCAGTAAATAAATTGGACATGGGGCTAATCCCCAACCCTCTCGAATGATAAGAGAAGAGGGGTAAAATATAGAGACAATGTGAAAGGGTGAAAGGGAAAGATTTAGCAGGTAAATATCAAGAACACGGATTATAAGACAATTTCTGCACCATTCCCTAAACGGTTGGCTTATGAAATCGTGTTTGATACAAGGAGTATAACCAGAGCGCTAACCCACGCTATTTCACTGGTAGTCAATCATTAGCTCCTATCTTGAGACTACAGCAGAACTTCAATTTCATTTTCTTTTCGTATACAATATTATCAAAATGTAGTTAACTATAAAACAGGAAATCCATATATTGAACCAATGAATTCCTGTACTCAATCATCTTAGTAATAGATACCGTAGTATTTTCAGGATGAAAGATTTTTAGGATACAATTAATTGCAAAAATACTATCAAGAACCCTGCACATTTTTACTAATTTATTGAATAACTCTGAACATAACTATTATAAAAGCAATCATAGGCGTAACTATGGCGTAAATATTCATAAATGAAGAATACACGCCATAAAAACTAAAACAACAACAACATAGGATCAATTATTGATTGACAGGATTGGTCAAAGTTTAAAGTATTACTTAGACAAGAATAGGTTAGGATCACCCTATATAAAATAGATTTAGGTGTAATAGAAGCTAAATTTCAGGAGATTCAAGACATTATTATTCAAGATCTTTACACCAGTTAATGGAGCTGCAAAGTAGATTGAATTTCACCTAATTATGAGCAACCATTTTGGGAGTGCATGAAATGATTTTGACCGTGGAATGATACCCATAGCAATTATTAATGATAAATAAATACTAATAATGGAGTCTTGTTTAGCGGTTAAGTCTGGCATATTGCCACTCTTGTATAATGGAGTGCTACTCCTGGCACTCTTTTATTTTTACCCCATTTTGAGGAATGAATTCCTGCCTGGCACCCACCCTGGGTGGAGTGCACTAAAGCATAGAGAGTCAATGCTAATGCGTATTGACCTTTAGCACTGCACTACGTGTAAATAGGCAGCATTTGCACACATGAATTTTTACACACTCATTATACACAAATGCACACGATCATGCCAATGTGGCTGATCGGCAAGTATGAAAATAGGCTTACAATTTGAATTTTTAAATTATTCTTTCTAACATCGGTAAGTTGAGAAAAATTGTATTTTACTGCTATTTAGGTGTCATCAATTGTCATTAAAGTACCGATTTTGAGTGAAATCAGTTGAGTTTTGTACAGTAGTGTTTGAAATGTTGAGAATCAATAGCGCAGCTTTTAATACACAGCCAGGGTAGTAATGCAGCTATGTGTGGGTGGAGTGTATGGGGTTAATGTCTTGTCAAAAGACAGTAGTGCTGTGATAGGGATTCGAACCCTGTACCTTGTGGTTCACAGTCCGGAGAACCACTGAACCACAACACCTCTGCATATTTCAACATACATGTATTAATCGTCTCAGTCTAAATGAACCGCTTTTAACTAGCTTTGTTATCGGTTAATGAAGATTACGTATTGTGTACTCACGGTAACTCATTAACTGACCTTATCAAAGAGAAATACTTGAAAACACGGAAAAAGAGTCTCAAGGAGAGATACATGTACGTGCTCAGAAGTCTGTATACCTAACCCCTGTGATAAGTTTGTGATATACCCGTTCAACACGGTGGGGGTGTACAGAAAAACAAAATGTCTGCTTAAAAAAATTACAAAGATACTTTTTTTCATTTTCGTATATCTATCTGTTCGCTCTGCTGTTCATAAATAGATGGTCGTGGATTATGACAATATTAATTCCGCTAAAAAGCGTTTTGCAATGAGAAATGTTAGACGCGGTATATGTACTCATGTGTTACAGCTTAAGACTCTACAGGGTCACAAGGCTGTTTGTAATAGCAGTACTGTAATACATGATACCCATTTCCAATGAGTAAATCAAGAATCTGAAACGTCATCTATTATATTTTATTTAATGAAGTTTTTATTAATTTCTTTCGAAATAGCAGTACTTAGAGAGAGAGAGAGAGAGAGAGAGAGAGAGAGAGAGAGAGAGAGAGAGAGAGATAGAGAGAGAGAGAAGAGAGAGAGAGAGAGAGAGAGAGAGAGAGAGAGAGAGAGAGAGAGAAAAGAGAGAGAGAGAGAGAGAGGAGAGAGAGAGAGAGAGAGAGAGAGAGAGAGAGAGAGAGAGGAGGTTGAATGATAATAGTGCGGAAGAGTTTGGCATTTATTGACTATAGGAAAATATAAATGTATTTATAGCATTCGATCATTTAAAGTACACCCTTATATGCACATCGGCAAAATTAAGACTTAAGATTTCTAATTGTCTGAGGTAAATTTCACCTTTCCTGCGTTGCTTCATCTTGATTAACATGAATAATTACCAAAAATAAGGAAAAAGGAATTACTTCATTTACTTCATTTCAACAACGTAACAAAAGCAGGGTTTTTTCACACATTATTTTATTCGCATGAGTCACAAGTTCGACACGTAGCATTCGTCTGCTAAAATAAAATGACAAAACTGCAAACATGTATAGGGCTTGGTAGTCTGTGTATGAGATCTTATTGAAGTGAATATGAATATTCGTATAGAAATACATTATTCCCAACAAATTGCACCCAGCTCCCCATATTTTATATTTTTATATTTATTTATTTTTATTCTCATATGTTCAGCAAGGTTCATTTATTCGTAAATCTGAGCCACACAACATTGGACAACAACTTAAACAAATAATATTTATTTTAAAAAATGATGCTGCTATGTTCATTTGCCAGTAACAGTTTAGAATAACACTTTGTATGTTTATTTGTATGTTTGTTTGTTTGTTTATCTGTGTTTGTTACCACTCAACATGTTCTGTTGCGTGGGTGTGCTTGTAAGTTTGTCTCCTAAACCATTTGCAAGACATTCAGCTACTCCCTCTTGTGGCGCTCTGTTTAAAGTCTTCTGCACTACACTGTATGTACAGAGACAGAGACTGTAATGATGATCATTGCTATTTACATTTATTTCATTTGTCTCCTTAATGAGTATGCAGACATGGGTGTGTAACCTAGCAGACAGTGTAATTTACTTGAATAAAACCGGTAATTAAATAATACAGAAACGAGATCTGAATACTTCCGTGTAATTAGTCGTTTGGAAGCCGGGCAGGTTGAACGTGAACTGATAACTGTGAAAACATCATACAAAAAATATTGCAAGCAGTGTTTGATACCTGGCAAAGCGTTAGAAGCAAAGAAACATACATGCCATTTTCTTACAATGAGATAATTATTTCATATTTTTCATTATAATTTCAGTTTTATTTTGTTTGTTTCAAACTATTTAATTATTATTTTGTTTCTGAAGTCTATATCACTGGCGTATCCGGAATGCGGAATGGGATGGAAGCTCAAGTGCGCCCTCCCCTCTGTTTAAAGCTGAGCCCCCCCCCCCCAACTAAACAACAGACAAAACAAACAACTTATCTGTTTGCTGTGTTCAGTGCCATGCGGCGCCAGGACTGCCCATATTAAATTGTGTCTTCCTCTATGGAAGGGATTCACATCGCATCCCCCTTGTTTATCAACTTCTGTATACGCAACTTAACCACTCCTCTCCATCTCTCTCTCTCTCTCTCTCTCTCTCTCTCTCTCTCTCTCTCTCTCTCTCTCTCTCTCTCACTCTCTCTCTCTCTCTCTCTCTCTCTCTCTCTCTCTCTCTCTCTCTCTCTCTCTCTCTCTCTATATATATATATACCCCTCCTTTATCCCGGAGATGGGTTCATGAGAAATTGATGGAAATGAATATTTGAGATGATTTTTTGTTTAGCAAGTATGAGGTAGCAATACTTCCAAACTATCCTAAGAGACGGTGCATATAATATCATGCTGTTTGAGAAATAAGGACAGATTTTAAGAACTTAAAACAATATCGTTTCTGGCTAAACAAATATTGACAGTTGCATTAAGTCTGAAATGGATATGTGATTGCATATTAACCTTATCAATTATTAATATCTCACATAAGGAGAGAGAAAAACACGGCGACAATTTCGAAGGGGATTGGGAGACACGACACCGATACCTTTCTTGTGATTCAAAAAACAAATGTTTGCATTGGTTGCGATAAAATATATACATATCAATTTGACCACGAACCTACAAAATGTTGCTTATATATAGAAGGGAAGGTCACGACTTCTTCCTTGCCAGTTTGGTTTTCTTCTTCTACTTCTTCTTCTTTTTCTCCCCATCTTCGTATTTCTCTTCGTCTTCTGCTTCTTCGTCTTCTTTTTCTTTCTTTTTTCTTCTTCTTTTTCTTCTTCTTCTCCTTCTTCTTCTTCTTCTTCTTCTTCTTCTTCTTCTTCTTCTTCTTCTTCTTCTTCTTCTTCTTCTTCTTCTTCTTCTAAAAATTGATTCTAATCAATCGCAATTTAATATTAATCCCAACTCCTATGTATAAAGTACACAGTCTTAAACTTTTTTTGTAAAGAAGTTTTAGGAGTTATGCTTTATTTCTGTGTTTAATATTTGCCTTCTATATTTTGTATTCTGTATTGATATTTATATTCTAATTGTCTTATGTTCTGTGTAATATAAGTTATTAAGAAGACTACCCTGTTTAAAGAAGACTTGAATGAAAATAAAGTTATAAATAAAACAGTTGCGATTGATTCAAAGTTGTGAATGACTTGAACCAATCGCAACTCTTTTATATACTGGGTCCTTGTTGATTATTTGGTTGATTGAATGATTGGTAGTACAGCTAGAAAACACAACTTTATTGATACAAAAAGTAAAATAAATAAAAACCTTAGGAACGTACTGCGTGGTTAAATTCATTTGTTTTTATTGATGGGACGATAATTATGTTTTCACATTACAAAAGTATAGTTAAACGTTAATGTTATCATATCTTTGATCTATGAGATTGATATCTTTCGTATGTTCCATCAAGAAAATAGAACACATCAGCCATGACCAACTTGAAAATTATTTGAATCCTTTTCACGCTCTGTTTAAACGCTCTGACTCACATTTATGTTTCTTCTTATTTTGCGGGAAGCAGGTCTGTTTAAACTTTATGATGATTAACATGAGAATGTAACGATGATGATGAACTGATAATGTTGTAAATAAAATTCGTCCCTTACCTCAGCTACTTCTTCGGCCATTTTGCTGTGTGTTGTATACGCGAAAAGCGATGAAGCAAGAAACGAAGTTAGCGACCGGTCGAGAGGATTCGCAGGCGCCAAATAGACCGATACACTAGCATCGAACTTGCAGCAGAACGATTCGGTTCCACACCCCACAATTACTTATCATCGCCGAGATTAAAAGATCTCTATAGGGTTAATAAATAACCCAAAGGCTCATTAAGGCTAGATAGTTTCTTCTTTGCAGGAAGAAATATGTATCGTACGGTTGATAAGAGGATGACGTCATACTGTAATTAGTCATAGTACTAATTTGGGTGAAAGAACTGCGAAGGTTAGCTTGTAGTGGAAGATTGTGAGTAGAGTAGAGTAGAAATAGTGTATTAAACTATGTGATGCTATTTACCTGTTAGTGATAGTTATAGTAATAATAATGATGATAAGAATAATAATTTCATTTATACATTGATGCCTCAGTAGCATCAATGCTGTTCTTCCTGATGGCCCTGTAGTTGTCATTACCCCAGAAATATCCCAGGTCCTCATTTACACCAGGGACGATAAGAGGTACAACATCTTGTCCAAAGGTGTAAGCGCCTAACGAGTATCGAACCTATGACCTCTAGTATGAGAGTCAAGAGCATCTACCAGTTTCCACAGTACCAAGTTGTGTCAGTTGTGACGAATACATAGGAAATATAAGTAAATCATGTGATAGTGTAACAACAAGGTGCTACGGACCTTTTTAATTATAATCATTACCACACCATCCGATCTTTAGATGCAACGAACTCTGGTATGGGCATCGTATCTGGGTCGAGAGAACATGGCTATAATTCATTCTGGATTATTTATCCTGCAGTAGATTGATTGTTTGAACCAATAACATAGAAACAACCTCACAGAAATTTGCCGAAATGCATCTTCAATAAAAACCACAACTCTCATTTGCACATGGTAACCTCTGTTAAGCACATAGTGACAGGCCTACTTATTTTGATTTCATTATCTTTCTATGCTCATTACTCAGCCCCTATACATTTTCTTCCAAAATCGTTCGGCACATGTCATTTATTTGAAACCTTGAACACTAAGTTTGTTGGATTCTGTGAGAATTACCAGAACTCACGCTTATCTTTAATATGAAGGGTTGTGACAGGTGTCACATGCATGTACATGAAACATTATGTGACAATAATTTGGCAGCAAAGTGTTACGAGAATCTGATAACTATGAGGATTTAGATACCATTTTTGGAAAATAAAACGCTGCACGGCCATCTAGAATGCACGGAATTCTTGCTATATATCCAGTGATATCTTAAAACTAGAAAGGAGGAATATATGGCATTGTTGGCTTTAAGAGCTAAACTGAAATTTCAAGAAGCCAAGCATTAAATCAGAAAGTCACTTTCAGGACTGTCGAGAGTGAAACCGTTCACGATGAAATATCTTCACAAGCTACCGATTTGACACCGATTCTGTCAAAATATCATCATCAATTATTCACCATCCGCAATGTAACTACTGTATTCCTTTCCCCCTGACCAAAGTACAGATATGATTTATTTCAAGTTTTGGCATGTTACACACAAACAAAGTTGAGTACTTGTATTGAAATCACTGTGTGAAAGAATCTGTCGGGAAGCAACTGGAAAAGGTTGAATCTATGAAGATTTGAAAAGTTTAAAATGTAAGGGAATTCATCCATTCTTGGTGAAGATCACACTGCACATACAAATCGGATTATGGGATTTTGAAGAAAAAAAGTTTATAGTCGAAAACCTTTAGATATTCGTTGTCATATTATATGGGGGCATATTAGAGCATTCATTTTCAGTGAACATTTTTACTATATTTCTATCGCAGCAATGACGCTCATGTCAGTCACGCCCCATGTGCTCTTGGCGCTCGAACATTATTACCCCGTTCATAGTCGGCAGCATAGCGCTCTGTCTTATCGGGTACCCATTTACACCTGGGTGGAGAGTGGCAAATGTAGATTTATATCTTGACAAAGTACGTTGTTGCCTAGCTGGGATTTGAACCCTAAATGTGTGGTGGTGGTTATTTTACCTGACTGCTAATAAAGCCTAAATGCTTGTAAGTAAGTAATAATAATAATAATAATAATAATAATAATAATAATAATAATAATAATAATAATAATAATAATAATAATAATAATAATAATAATAATAATAATAATAATAATAATAATAATAATAATAATAATAATAATAATAATATAATAATAATAATAATAATAATAATAACCTAGGCTTCTATAGCGCATTTCTCCTTCGGAGAAAATAACAATGCGCTTTACAATATATATTAAAACAACAAAATTACACATATCTACTAATTCATGGGCTAAAGATATATTAAAATAAGGACAAGATTAATGGTAATCAATCAAAGTAAGCAACCATACGGCCGACGGCTTCAGGTTCTCTCCTTTGACCTGGTAATGAGGATTAATGCCTTACCAAAGGGCACTATAGCGCATCAACACATATAGTTTCGATCCTTGAATTGAGAGTCAAGTAGATGAACCGCTATATCACATCTCCGCCCTCACTATGTTGCTCTTCTAAATTGAAATACATATATATATATTTATACAAAAATTCAAGAAGTCTAAATATATATATTCTTTTGCAAATGACATACAAATGATCGAAAAGTCACAAATCATATTTTATCTTTACCTTTTTTAAGAACTTAACCTTCTCTTCAAAAAATCCTCACAGAATCCCTAAAAAAAAATCCTGTTATCATAATCATATTCAAGGGTCGATATTATACTGATATATGTATGTACATAACATATTTTGGCCTCATTACCATTCAATAACAGTATTTAGAAAAATCTCATATCTCTCTCCTATCAACTAGATCGTGGCAATTGCTTATAGTGGGTGGGTGATAAAGATTGAGTAGTCTAATCATCCAGACACTGCAATATTGTTCCCGTTGTCGACACATATTTGGATGAGAGGGGGGGGGGGGGGGGTGGGGGCACATACAGAACTCTTGTGAGAATGTGTATTGATTCATTCAAGAGTCAAGGTAATTTCCCATTATAATACAGACATTCGTTTCCTATAGGTGTTACATACGTTAAAAAAATATGCATACACATCCTATTGTATGCAGGGAGCCAGAGGGTGTTGAATCAATGTTGGAGAAGAATGGTTCAACACTATTCCTGCTCTCAACAGAAGGTACACCAAGAACATTAGTCTTGTTCTTTTCAACAGTCCTTTCAACAGTTCTTTCCAACAGTCCTTTTCAGGACTACACACCCTCAAGAAAGATTACCGAGAGTCCCCCCTCTCTTTCTCACACACACACATGGTGGCATGGTGCACCCGCAAGCCTTCTGTATATCTACATCCCCATGCAAGCCGATACTTACAAGCAGCATCTAAGAACATTATCATTGGCCTGAAGATGATAATAATAATCATTACAAAAATTTCTGGTTGCTCCGTATACAGTTTCCATTTTCTCTTTATCTTAACATTTTTAATCGCTACAGGTCGTGATGTCATTTATATCAGTTGTCACCAATATTTTATTCCGGTATTTATCTTGTTTTTCTCCGTTGTTATTATTTTTATTTGTTGGGGTATGGGGTATAATTTTTGCTTTATTTATCTGTCCGTATTTTCTAAGCTTGAGCATGATTTGTCTTTCTTTTTGTCATTTTTTAATCTTCACGACTCTGTCCTTCTTTCCATCTTCCTTCCTTCTTTTCTTTCTTTCTTCCGTCCTTTCTTCCTTCTTTCCTGTCTTTCTTCCTTCCTAACTGTCTGGCGAGCTAGCAGATACAATGCATGATCGACGCATATTGTATGATTGCTTCCAGTTCATACTTTAGATCAGTTTAAACAACTGTGCATGATTAGCAATTGCATTATCAAAACTAAAATAAAGCTTTGTTGTGAAGACCAATCTATTCACTACTCTCATGGTTATTGTTAATATAATATACACAAAATGGCAATGAAAGATACTACATTATCAAAGCATACAATCGTGAATATTTGAGCGTTTTGCGTGGGAGTAAATGGCATTCCACTGATAATAGGTTTCTAATTCAGGGGGCGAAATAGAGATTTTGGCAAAATTTCTTGCGAGCAGGAGCATCAAAAACAACATGGTCCTTTTTTTCTTTGTCTTTCTTTTAACAGCATTTCCAGTTCTGTAGAATGGGGGGGGGGGGATAATCGATAAGAAAAACTATATATACCCAATATGTATGAAAACTATGACGATAATAATATCGTTTATGTGTTCTAAGATTCATCGTACAAGCCTGCCTTGAATCTGAAAAGGTTCATGGACCTGGTTTAATGATTACGGACATTGTGCTTGCATAAAATCGTGCATTTTTATAACTTTCTGTGAAGTAAAGAAATGTTTACAACAATCATCGTCTTGGCTATGTTTCGACAAATGGCGGATAGACTTTCTTCACGGTTTAATCACCCTGTAGTGCAGACCCAGTGGACCTCTACAGGGAAGTAAACTCGTCAAAATTCCTCACCAATCTCTGATATGACATTGTCTGAGTTTGTCCCTTTTTTCTGCAATTGGACTTCGGCACATAGCATGTAGATTAGGTTATTATAAGATTTACCCAGCCCCTAGACTGAAGATCAAATAACAATTTTGAGATACAAGAAGAAAATGATTGAATTTAAGTTCCCCATTTTTTGTAAAGCTTCGTAAATCAAAGTAATTAAAATATGGAATCTATATTTGTTATGTCAGTCGTGTAGAATAGATTTAATGAATCATTGATTAAAAATGTTGTTGTTGAATAAACAACATCAAAAGAATAATAAAATCGTATATCTGATACAGTGGCATATAAAGCAAAGACCTCTCGGCGTACCATCTCTCTGCCCCCCCCCCGCGTTTTTTTTTTTTTAAACTTAAAAAAAAAGAAAAACTTTGTTAACATTATTCTTATCAGTGGGTGTGTGGCACCCGGGCTACCCGAATACATTTCGTCCCCCATTTCTTATAAGGACACCACTCTGTGGGGTTGCTCCATGATTTTCCACCCAGAAAGAAGGGGGGGGGGGCGGGGGCGACAAACTCTAGGATGTAATATTACTACCGTAGGAAGAATATGTAGGATTAGGTTTGCCAGGGGCCCAGCTCCCTCCCTACTCCAGCCTCCCCCAACCCATCCTCCCTCTCCCCCTCCCCCTTCCCCTCCCCCTCCAATACGTGCAAACAACAAGTTTTATTCAGAAATCCCAGTGATTTTCGTTCTGGTTTATGTAAATCTACAAGTTGCGTTGCAAAATATAAGAAGTATTAGGATCTATATATTTTATATGAAAAGCAGTCACGGCGCCCTCTAAGCTAAAACCAGGCCAGCCGGCGTAATACGTCAACATACATCTTTTCAATTAGGAGCTGAAAATACTTGACTGTTGTTTCGAAGGAGAGCTTTATTTTTCTTGTAGAAATATAAAGAGAGAAGAAGAAGAAAAAGAAACTTGTAAGGCTACGATAGCTAAACGTATTATGTAAAATGCTGTGCATTATTGCTTTGTACTTCATTGAAACATTAAAGGTAAAGACCAGTTACTGTATTGGAAACGCCCCAATTTCAAAAAATGAAATGGAAGCTCTCATTACCAATCATGTGAAAGAATATGTTTTGACTAATACATGATGACAAAAAATTTGCCGGGAAACCGCCTACCAAATAATATATTTGGTAAATTTGTTTCTCTCATGGTCTGTGAGAGATATAGGGTAGTCCCATATACATCTTTCTGTGTATAGTGCTTGTAACTTTACGAAGAATGGGCCAAATTTCTTATGATTTTGATGATTCCAGAACCTTGCAGATGCTAGATGCTAGATAATCAACCTTTTTTGATCGATTCCACAACGTTGCTTTCACAATGCAATCGCATGACCATAACTGGTCTTTACCTTTAATTGAATTGAAATGGATGGGGAAAATGAATCAAGCATACCCTTAACAAAATGATTACCTCACAAAGTCACATTGACTTACGAAAACAGTTGTTAGGACGTATGGTTTCTGCCGTGAGTAGCAGCTGATGAAACAAATTCCAAATTGCACATATTTACATGAACACTTTGGTTGTGTTTTTTTTTTCTTCTCCGCGCGGTCGCTCGTTTATCACACGTGCATTTTTTACAAACCAATATGCATCAATAACTGAGAGAAGGATTGCTCTCAGCTGCACAATGGGTTTGCAAAAGTACCAATTGATTGGTTAGTTCCAAGACATCCCTTCAAAATCAGGGTACATTAATCTTGCGCTGGTACCACTTAAATATTTTGAAGCATTTGGTATATCTGTCCCATGAGAAATACAACGTGGCACAATGATATTATTTGTGTGGCGTAAAAAGCCCATCTAAAGCATGTTAAACGTTAGTCTCACCAACGAGACCGACACCAGATCGGCACCAGACCGGCAACAGACCGGCACCCGACCGGCATTAGACCAGCACCAGACCGGCACCCGACCGGCACCAGACCGGCACCAGACCGGCACTAGACCGGCACCAAACCGGCACCAGACCGGCACCAGATCAACACCAGGTCGGCAATAGACCGGCACCAGACCGGCATCAGACCGACACCAGGTCAGGTCGACACCAGGTCGGCAATAGACCGGAACCAGAACGGCACCAGAACGGCATCAGACCGGCACCAGACCGACATCAGACCGGTACCAGACTGGCATCGGAACGACATTAGACCTACCCAAAATGACATTACCCCAAATGACCAAACATGTGAAATAAAATTATGTATAACACGATAACTGGTCATAATCATGATAATACAGAAATCCAATTTTGTTATTTGCAACGATGAATAGATTGGAATACATTTTCATATAGCCTATTATAGCATAGCTTCCTTCGTATACCGTATGGTCTTAAAGCAATCTATCGTTTTGCAACTACATAACATAACAAAATATCTGACAAACGACTTTTTAGGTAAAATATATCTCTTAGAAAGAAAAAAAAGTTAAATCTAGTTCCGTGAGCTATATACAGTATGGTATCATTTCCGCAAGTCAATGGGCATCTTTTTATGATTTTAGTTTCACTTCGTCGATGACTTTTTTCCGCTATTGTTGACATCAGGATGTGTATTCAAGATATAAGTGAACATTTATATGCGTATTGTATTGGTATTGGCTTTTCGAGTTTAAAGGGGAAGTCCACCCGCATATGCAATTGGTTTTACTAGAAGCAAAAACATGAAAGAAACCGGTCAGCGAAAGTTGGAGCAAAAACCGATTTAAACGAATTATGATTTTTTGAAGGTGCAAGCAATCAAACACAAATTGGCAACCCTGTGACGTAATTTGCGAGGCTCCCTTCCATTTGCCCCTGTTCTAAAAATCTTCAAAAATATATATTTTCCCTAACGAAACTATAAGCACACCTTCACCCTAAATATAATTATTGCTAATATGTTTGTATACAAACCCTGTATGAAACAAGGCTATTCTGTAAATAATATCTCAGATGATAAAAGTTCATGTAATTTTCTGTACATAGCAAATTGGAGAGGAGCTCGCAAGATACGTCAAAGTGTTGCCAGGTTGTGTTTAACTGAATAATGACAACTTCAAAAATGGTTAATTTTAATCTGATATTGCTCAAACATTCACTAACACGTTTCTCTCGTTTGTCTGCTTTCATTAGACCGTCACTACTACTGGGCCAGAAGGGATTAGACCACACAACGAGGTCACTGACCGGTGGCTATCTCATTAACTCAGCTCTCAACTAACATAAGAAAAAGAGGATCATGGGGGACCAATAGGCACCAATTGGGGAAGTTTTCTATATAGAGGGAGCAAGTAGCTACAAGTAGTACAGTGTGCCTTTAAAGACCGTTTGTATTAGGTTCATGCTACTACTGGGCCAGAAGGGATTAGACCACACAACGAGGTCACTGACCAGTGGCTATCTCATTAACTCAGCTCTCAACTAACATAAGAAAAAGAGGATCATGGGGGACCAACCGGCACCGATTGGGGAAGTTTTCTACAGTGGGGCTTTAAAACCGAGATGATATCTGGGTGGACTTTCCCTTTAAGCAGTTGTCATCGGAATTTTTAAGCAGTTGTCATCGGAATTAGTCTTACATTCATATTCAGAAAAATCACAACATTTTGGTTCGTTTGTTTGTTTTACCCGAGTGCTAAGAAAGCATACGCGTGCCTGTAATTAAGCAACCAGGGGACCGAGGGCTTTAAGTCCTCTCCGAGGGACTTGGTAACGTGGATTGAAGCTTTACCAAATGGCACTAGCTCATCGACTTGGATTCGAACCGGGACCTTTCGGTATACGAGACCACTGCTCTACCACTGAGACATCACGCATCGACGATTGATTAAACTGTAATCTGATGCTATTTGTTTACATTGATTACATCATTTCGAGTCAGGTGAGTTTTTTGAATAAATCACACTATACTCGTAACATGATTGTTGGTAACATGTCTGTATAAGCAGACTATATAGCGTGCATGCAGACAACGTCTGGAATTATAAGACTAAGCGCACTCAACGGGCCCATCCCACTTTTTCTGTAAAACTGCACCCGTACGACCGTGTAATGAACAATTGCTATTCACTTTCCGTCCTACGGTTCCTCTACACACACAACCTACCAAACTCTCTCACTTCCGCGTTCAGTTTTTCAACATTTCAGCTTCAAAAACCAATTGATTACAAAGATGTCTGCTCAAAGGGTAAGCGAATATTTGTCTTCTAGATTTGATTGATTATATCCTGGTTTTGATTTACTCATGTTGGTTTTAATGGCTGGAGCATTTGCTGGTAGTATCGGTGTATGTGTAAACTATACCAGCCATTCGGCTATGTATGTACACGTAGTAAGTTACAAGCGAGTTTGGCTGTGTTGTTCTATTCAGTTGACACACCCACCCAGGTCAAACAGCTGATCAACGAGTTGATAATAATAATAGATGTGTAGTCGAGGTATGCAGGTCGTCTCGCGGATAGAAAACAGATAAATACGGTGGACCTTATTATATTTTATTACACCATTGAATTCTGGATATACATGTTTGTGTAAAATGATAGTGATCAACCTTACACTGCTTTATTTGTAACGAGAGAGAGAGAGAGAGAGAGAGAGAGAGAGAAAGAGAGAGAGAGAGAGAGAGAGGGAGAGAGAGAAGGAGAGAGAGAGTGACGCAAATATTTACTAGTGACAACTGCCAACGGGGAGGCGGAACACGGAAATTGCATAAACGGGGAAGAGATGAGGAGTGAGCAAGAAATAAAGTGAAGAGAGTGAGAAAGTGTAAAGGAGAGCAAGGGAGAGGGGTAGAGAGAGGGGGAGGGAGAGAGGGAGGGAGGGATAGAGAGGGGGAGGGAGACAGAGAGAGAGAGAGAGAGAGAGAGGACCGGGGAAGTTCAGAGAGGGGTATGGGAAGCGGACGGTGGTGGGGGGGGGGGGGGGGGGACAGAGATAATTAAACGAGGGCTGGAATGGAAGAGTCAGATTAGATTTCTGGGGGTGGGCTTGGACACGCTTGGTCAATAGTACGGTATTTTTTCTCCTCACGTGGGCAAACATACTCAAAAGAAATTCTTTTTTTCTCCACAGAGAATTAAACTGTTGATTTGTCTCTCTGAGTCACTCAACCAGGGAAGCTTCAGGTTAAATCAGTCATAGGTTTAATTAACTGGTCCTTGAATGGTTTCTTAGGTTGTTACATGTACAGAGAGGCCTCAATTCGTTTTTACCCTCGAACAAGCTAGCCTATACTAGTATTCAAGTTCCTGTTTCTAAATATGGGGCCCCGTGTCCGTCGCGACTCATCGCATCTGCTATGACCCCCCCCCCCTCAACCATTACCCTTGTTTAAAATCAGTGTAATGAATGTGCAATTTTTGCTTCTCCTTTTCCATCCAGTGACCACTATCTCTCTCTGTCTCTCTCTCTGTCACTCACTCTCTGTCTGTCTGTCTGTCTGTCTCTCTCTCTCTCTCTCTTTCTCGTTATCTCTCTTTCTCTTTTTATCTCTATATCCCGCTCATTTTAATTACAATATTGAATTGCATTAATTTTTATTTTGCAATATAGATTAAATTAAATTACTTAATTTGATGTGATTCATTTTATATATTTTTTTACGGCACTTTAAGTCAGCCAGCAGTACTTTGTATTTTCTTTCTAGTAATCGTGAAATATCATGATGGCAGGATTAGTTACCCTAAAATATATTGTCTAAGCACCCCCCCCCCCCCCCACCCTCCTCCAACGCCCGTTATGAATAATTTGGACGAAGTCATTCTTTAACTACACTTTCAAGTTTATTTCAGTAAAAACTGCCCACATTTTTGTTTAGGGTGGTGGGATACGATCTTTGCAGTCTAGAATTCAAACTGATCAGATATTTTGACAATTTCACCGTGCAAAACCTTTCTGGGGGCATTATACATAGTGCTGTACTGTGCGAATGTGTGCGTGTGTGTGTGTGTGTGTGTGTGTGTTTGTTTGTTGTGTGTTGTTGTTGTTTGTTTCCTAACTTTATTCTTACCCGTCTTTTTCTTAAGAAAACCTAGTCAAGCGAGACGATACGGGTGCTAGTTTCAGATAACACAAAAATCCCTGTCACCAACTTTATTCCTGTGCTATGGCACCAGGATTAATTTGGGAAGGTTGAGTTAATGTAAAGCTCCCAAGGGGATGTTCTTTTTTCTTTTTTTCTGTATCTTATAGTCTTAATCGGGTGAAGAAACATTATCCCTGAGAGCAGATTTCTTTACAAAATGAATGTAATTCGCAAATAGGATTAGTCATCTTAAAGCTTATCTGCCGTAGTTTATAGGAGGGATTAGACTGCCCTGCAAGGTCACTGGACAGGTGGTTATCTCATCAACTCAGCTCTCAGTTAACATAAGAAAAAAGAGGATCATGGGGGACCAATGGTCACCGATTAGTCATTGTTTGTTATATAGAGGGCGCAAGTAGCTACAAGTTGTGCAGTGGGCCTTTAATTCAGGCTACTATTGGCTCGTTTCAAGGGTATTTAGTCAAAGTACTGGTCCTGTTGAAGATATCTTGTGCTTATTACTAGTGCATTGCTATCCCGGAATTCAGGTTGAATCTGTTATAGCCCACACCCCATCTTCTGCCCCCCCCCCCCCAACAACAAATACTTCTATTATTAATATTAGACGAAAGAGACTGTAGAGCATTATTTTTTTTAAATGATACATTTGATTGAATTGTGATGACCATTTCTTCTTCTTTTGTTTTTCTTCTTCTTTTTCATCCCCTTCTTCTCCTTTCCCTTCTTCTCCTCCGTCTTCTCCTTGTTCTTCTTCTCCTTCTTCATCTTCTCCTTCTTCTTTCCCTTGTTCTTCTTCTCCTTTCTTCCTTCTTTTCTTCTTCCTCTTCTTCATCCTCTTCCTCTTGTCCCTTTTTTCTCCCTTTTTTCCTTCTTTTCCCCCTTTTCTTCTTCTTTTCCTCTTCTTCTTCTTCTTCTTCTTTTCTTTTTCTTCTTCTTCTTTTCTTTTTCTTCTTTTCCTTCTTTTCCTCTTCTCCTCCTTCTTCTTTGCATGTCAGAAAATTGTAGGAATGATATGCCCTCTCTTTTACAATATTACGGATCCTTCCCTGTATTGTGCAACCCAGACAATAGAACAGTGTCAGAACAGTGTTATGAGGGAATGCCAGGGGGAAAACTCAATAATCCCCAAAATGTAGGGGGAATGCTGAACCCAAATTATGGAAGTGATTATTATCATTATCATTTATAACACATCATTCAATAATGTGTTACGGAATACGGCTAGGAGGGAAAATAAATTGTCCCGAAAACGTAGGTAAATGCATATCAAATCAACCGGCCCCAAAGCGATGTATGTTTTGCCTTTACCACTTCCCTATTTGCTACAGTGAGCCGCATCCTTCCTTGGTTTCATTCGTTTTGCCCTATTTCTTGCTAACCGTCACATTTACACAGGATGGTACCCTTGCGTTATTAATCATGTAGAAAACAATAAAACCATATTAGAAACGAGAAGTTTACAACAAAATCGGGAGACTAGACTAAACAAATAAGACGAGTAAAGACAAGTTAGAACCGACGTTTGTAAAACTTATTAGACACACTTAATTGCCTCCATAAATTATATTTATTCAAGTTATGCAAATAAATATGGTTTGTGGTGATATTAATAGCCGTAAAATCAACCGCAAACAAATAATAAAGCACTGGAATCATTCACCCCGCAAAATGCCTCTCCTTAATGGACTGTCACGCATTATTGATGGATGGATTTCATTGTTTGAAACATACGGTATAAATTGATGTATGCCAGCCTGCACAGTATTTCATTTCATTTCATTTTATTCCATTCGTCAAATAAAATCATACATGATTATAACATTGGTATTCACAGATAAGTAAAGAACATACAAACAACATAACGAAAGATAAATACAAAATACAACGATATATACAAATAAGGAAACCGGCAAGAAAAAACATGACAGACTTATGTGGTGCTGGTCCCTTACAACAGAATAATAATAATAATAATAGTTCAGTTCTTGTATAGCGCATAATACGTCATGAAATAACATCTCTATGCGCTTCCAAAGAATAGTACTACGGATGAACTGCATGATGACACTGCTTATGCAAAATAGACAATTTTGGTATATCATGAAATGGCCAGATGTTACAATATGTTTATAAAATGATAACAACTATGCATACACAAAAGGTGGCATTGGGATATGGTAGAAACTTACGTACAAATGGTGTTAGTTCTTACACTTTCAATCCGATTATTTTTTAATTTCTTAGGGAACGAGCAAATTTAGAAACTAGACTTGTTAATTAATGTATGCATACTTCTTGAAGCAAGGTATCCATTGACATCTAAACGCTTGCCAGAGACTTGCTAGACATATCAACAGCTCAATGTATACAAAGTGGATTACGTCTACAAACATGCCGCGTTATGCATGTATAGAGGTGAATTAGTTACGCATTAGCAGCCACGGCTTCTGGAGAGAAATGTGCATAAATTAAAATACATTAAATGATTAAAACAGGTCTATAACAACAAAGATTTGTGTTAATATATCGACATTTGTTGCGCTCTGAACAGTCTCAGAAATAATTTACATACTTACATTTCATGCGATGGTCGAGGGTTCGAATCCCGACACGGCACTAATATCCTTTGGCAAGATATTAACCTGCACTTGCTACTCTCCACCCAGGTGTTAAATGGGTACCCGGTAGGATGCGACCGTCATTGTTGGTCAAACAGCTTGTAAGCGTCAAGTAACGCCCGGCTGGAATGCTCCCCAGGGTGTGGAGATTGTGCACACAGTGTGTGCGGGCAAGCACTGAATCCAATGACCGGGGTAATAGTATATTTGTAAAGCGATTAGAGACATTTGTATTAAGCGCTATATAAAAATTAAATATTATTATTATTATTATTCATGTCTATTTTAGTGATTTCAACTTTCAAAAATCCATGATTTTCTTAATTTGTTGTCCAATTTCATTCAAATAGTCACCAGTGTGCTTCTCTGATTGTTCTGCTTTCTTTTAGAGATGTTTAGATATCCCTTTGTTATAGGCGTATTAACTTTAATCTTGGCCACAACCGTTTTTATGATAAATCTTTAAACATTTCGAAGTAAGCTGTGAATATTAATTGTTTCCTTTTTTTCGGAGCTTCATGTAAATAACCCTGCCGTAGAAGTATATGGGATACAGAGCTGCATAAAAACACGTACTTCAGAATGTGCCACAATTATCCCGAAAACTATTGTGCACTGTACTATGGGGTACACACGGGTGTAGGATGCGTGTGGTACAAAAAGGTCGACTTTTTTAACAATTATAAATTTGCGTGGGTAGCATAATTATATGCAACACTGTGACCGGAGATCAAATATTTGCTTTTCTTTTTGAACAAATGTCATGAAATCTAATTCCATTTTCGGGTTAATAATCGTTCAATCATGATTATGACAGTTTGAACTTTTAATAACTTATTATTGACATGATGAAAGCATTATGACGTCAGTGATGGATATAATTATTATCCTAATCTATGTTAATGCTCATTTATTGCCCCATTTCAGTTGTTATTTATTGAATGTATCACGGTAAATAAACATGGGGGAAATGTTGACAGAATGTGGGGAATTTCTCGTCTAACATTTTCCTTACAGCATTTCGAGCTTCCTGTTCTGGAATCAATCAGCATTACGTGCTATTTGTATCAATAAATGCCATAAAAATCTAGAGATTTCTTTGTTAGACAGAGTAGTCCTTTTTGCAATATTGCCCTAATTATTATTTATTTTACAAACGACTGTAAAACAAAAGTTCCAAAGCTGAATTTGTATCTGTTAATGTCAGTAAATCTATAGATTTCTTTAGTAGACAGAGTTATAAACAAATAAATAAGATAATATTCGGGCGCCATGCTGCCCGAATCATGACGATATTCGGGCAGCGGGGTGCCTGAATATCTTCATATCATCATATGGAAATAATGGACCCTGCTGCCTGAAGCTATACCCGGTTTCCTAAATCTTGGAAAAGAGCGAAGCGAGCGAGATTTAAAAAGAAATTATCTCTGTAATTATTATTTATTCGATATTACCGCTGATAGAGAGTGCACACGCGAATGATATGACCGGCCCTATACTATATATATACTCCAGAAATGTGCTGAAATCTTCAATCACCCTCTATTGTCATAGTTTTGAAAATGAGCTTCTTCCAAGAGGAAAATATATTATATACCACGAAAATAGGATGTCATGGGCTTTTACGTTATGTGGTGGATTTAGTTTGGATGCGGCCACGTCATTGGTTACTCTTGATAAAAATCATGAACAATTGAAGGTGTTTTAGCGTTTAATGTTCTAAACACTATCATGTGAAATATCTATGTTTCAATTAGATTTTCTGTAACTATCATCCGTCTAATGATTCTATATTATTTTCTTTCTTGCAGCCAACCGTGGTTCCCTTCCCTCATTTCGACAAGGATGTTGATTCACAGGCCCTACGCAAGGCCATGAAAGGACTAGGTAAGTTCCTCTGTCATTTAAACGTCAAATGCTATCCAGCAGCATAGAGTGGATACGCCCCCTCGTTTTAGTCCGCCCCCACCGATGATAATAAAAGAAAAAATATTTGTTTTAATCAGCTGCCAGCGGAATTATATGGCATGCTGAGGCTGAGCTGCCCGAAAACGCCCCTCCCCTCCCCTCCCCTCCTGGTCCATGACTTTCTGGATACACAAGAGATAAGAATAATTCTATTAATGGTCTCGTACTCCAGGTAGCCTCACCTGTATCTTTAATACTGGGCCCTGTTGCACAAAACTTACCATTGATGGTAAGTTTGCCATCAATGGTAACTACCACGGAAACCTTGATTTTGATTGGCTGTTGAGCCCTTTTACCATGGTAATTGCCATTGATGGCAAAGTTATCATCAATGGTAAGGTTTGTGCAACGGGGCCCTGTTCTTTCTAAGGGCGCCTGCAAAATGTCTGTCCAATAATATGTGGTTTGGCGTTGTGACTTAGTATCTTAGTATCTCATCACGATGATTATGAACTACGTTCGCTCATCTCACCATCACACAAACAACTGCGTAGTACACAAAAAGACAACTAAAGAAAACAACAAACAAACCAAAAATATGTTTTTACATAATCATGTTCCAATTTTCCGTTTTCACAGGCACCGATGAGAAGGCCATTATCAACATTATTTGTTACCGTACCAACGCTCAAAGGCAGGAAATCAAGATACACTACAAGACTGCTTTTGGACGGGTAAGAAAATAATTCTTTTTTGATGTTAGATAGGAGGAAGATTATGACTATGGTGAAGATCAAGATGATGGATATAACGGTCTGGGTGGTACGATGAATTTTGAAGATGATGATAACGATTACCATGCTTATAATGGGAATGGCCAATGATGATTATGACAATCCGATGATGATGATGATGATGAAGATGGTGATGATGATTATGAGGAGGATGATGATGATGATGACGATGATGATTATGATGAGGATGATGATGATAATTATAATGATGATGATGATGATGATGATGATGATGATGATGATGATGATAATTATAATTATAATGATGAATGATGATGATTATGACGATCCGATGATGATGATGATGATGATGATGAGGAGGATGATGATGATGATGATAATGATAATGATGATGATGATGATGATGATGGTGGTGATGATGATGATGATGATAATGATAATGATAATGATGATGATGACAATGATGATGATGATAATGATGATGATGATGATGATGATGATAATGATAATGATGATGATGATGATGATGATGATGACGATGACGATGATAATGATAATGATGATGATGATGATGATGATGATGATGATGGCAATTTCAAATACCACGATCACGTTTTCTCTACCTTTCTCTCCTTCATCCAGGATCTCTTGGATGACCTGAAGAGTGAGCTCGGTGGTGACTTTGAGGATGTTATCCTAGGATTGATGGACACACCAGCCATGTTCGATGCCAGGTGCCTCAAGAGGGCTATGAAGGTAACCATGACAGTTTCTTCCATCTTCATCTCTCCGAATCGGTGTATCCATCGGCCCCTTTTCCTTAAAGGGAAATCCAACCCAATAAGACAACCACTCTAAAAGAAAGCAGACAAATCAGAGAAGGAAACTGATGAAAGTTTCAATTAAATCTGCTTGAATATAAGAAAGTTATGAACTTTTGAAAGTTGTAATCTTGTATATAGGTACTTCAAAATGGCTAAGGAGGTAATTTCAAAGTGATGTAGTGCAGGACTACTTTCCCATCCAACATTTCAAAAAATCATGGCTCAGAAGGGTTTATTCTTTTTAGAGGACTTGTACAAATCTGCTATGTATAATATATTTTGAGTAGTGCCCCGGGGAAGAAAGAATTTACGAGAAAAACAGAAAATAATGATATTTTCGTACAAGGCAAATGGGAGAGCTGTCCGTGTCCTACGTCACAATCCACTAACCAAACTACCAATTTGAGATCATTTTCCCAATTTCGTTTAAAACGAAAGAATAAGTTTTGGACTGTTATTTTCTTTTCATTTTTTTTAATTACAGGGTGCAGGTACCGATGAAGATGCTATCTTGGAGATTCTTTGCGCCCGTACCAACGCGGTAAGTCCATTGCAACCCCTCTTCCCCCAAAACCTTTTTTTGTGTGCACCCATAGGTTTTTGAACGTTATGTTTTAAAAACTGTTTCCTGTGAATAAATATCATAACAATCGCTTTCGAGGGTTATCCTGTTCTAGCTGACTTAATTTTGATCTGTTATATCTTTTGTATTGTTGTATGCCGGTCGGAGGCTTGGGGAATTAAATCAATCAGTCAATTCTTTGTAAATAGGAAACCTGTTTCAGTTTCTTTAGAGAATGATACTTCTGTAAAAGGATCATGCTAAACAATATATTGAAACTGTCTAAAATTTGATCTGACGCCAAAGACTGATAGTTGTGATTGAAACTAATTTGATTGAAACTAATTTGTTTAAAAACTGGATAGCTCTAAGGACTTTTGTGAAGCGATCAAGAGTGATGTGAAAGTAATGAATATAGACAGTCCCATTTACCAAGCACATCGTAATCATGTGCATCAAAACGTTTCCGTATCACAATGGATCGACGAATCGTTAACATTTCATTTAAACGTAAAACAATAAATTATTGGAGCCTGATTCGGTATCGAGCGCATAGTAAACGGAGGCTTACTTTTACATAAGTAACAATAGTTTTTAACAAGCATCAAGCCGAAAGATTGCTATGAAAAATGGAAATAACTATTTCTACACAACGATTCCCCAGCTCTGTTTAAACTTCTCTGTAAGCCTACAACGCTTTGTTATCAGTCTTTGATCATGGTAATATTATTCCAACTATGTATATGTTTACAACATATTATTGTATCTCATTTTTTCTCCCCTAATAATCATAATAATTGCAGCAAATTGCCGAGATCAAGAAGGCCTACAAGTTGGGTAAAGACAACTCATACCACTTTCATTATCCGTTTATTCAATCTTTTGTTGTTCTATGTTTTATTACAGCTGTTTGATGTTTTTATTTTGCATATTCATGATCTATCATTGATCTTGCATTCGAGCACGTTCTGCTTTACTGAAAGAGGACTGTCTCAGTCGACAAGACCGCCTTGGTCTATTATGGTAGCCTTGTTTCTATGTAAAATTATCTACATTTTGTGTTTGCCAGATTGTAAAGGAATGACTTTCACGTGTATATGTTTTTTTTATAAGAATCAAATAAATTGAACTTTAACTTGAACTCGTCATGTGTTGAGTCTCAGATGGGCTTTAAGTCCATTTTTAAGTATATAAATTAAACGACCTTCTGGCTCTGAACTGACAAAATGATATGTTATGTTATCACACATTGGCATGTCCATCGTTGCATGAAGAAGGATATATTCCCCCTCGTTAAAAGACCCACTATAGAGCTTGAAATGGGGCTACAACATGTGGGGGGGGGGGGGAGTAGATAGTTTGCCCCCCCTCCTCCCTATTAAGATTAAAGATACTACGAATATATTGGATGTATTGGGTTTTAATTTGAGATGTGTTTTGTTCTAGATAATTTCCCTGTGGAGTGGCTATCCCTACACTTTTAATGTTACTTAAAAACTTTGCACTTATTTCATTGTGGATGCATTATTATTTATTTACCTTCAGGAGGTTTTGGCAGCAAAGATCTTGAGAAGGATTTGAAAGGAGAAACCAGTGGTGACCTGAAGAGACTTCTCGTCGGTCTCTCTGTGGTAAACAACCTCTTTGATAACCTTAACCAAATCATAACCAATGCACTAACACTATATTTGACAAAAAAAGGGAAGGAAATGTCGCATCAGGGTTTTGGGACCACCTTAAGGATCTATTTTCTTCATGAAAACAATACTTTAAAGGCTCAGATTGATTTAAACTTCCACACGACTTTCATGAACGGACAGACACTGTTGGGATAATAAATCACATCACCTATGGTTAGTTGTTTGGTTTGTTTTAGCCGGAAGCATGTGTATGCTTGTAAGTTAGCAACCAGGTGACAAATGGCTTTAAGTCCTATTTGGGGGATTAGGTAATAAGGTTCAATGCCTTACCAAAGGGCATTAGCGCGTCGACTTGGTTTCGAACCCGAGACCTCCCGGGTACGAGACCACTGCTCTACCACTGAGCCATCGCGCCTCCTTCCAATGTAATGTATCTAAAAATTGATATGAAAGGACCGCTATAATGCTAATCTAACATGTAGCATGATAAAGATAATGAAGATAAATGCTGTATTTACAGGCATAAGATTTAATGTGATCGTATAGGTTTGAATATGATCTTTAATTAATGCTGATTGTCCTTTCTCTCAATGTATGGTTTTATTTGTTGTTATTATGTTCATCTCTCTTTTCTACTGTTCTTGCATTCGGTTTCACATTATGTATTGATTTCAAATTTTGTTCCTACTTCTTCTTTCCAGGGAGGGCGTGATGAAGGTGCAGGGGTTGATCCTACTAAAGTCCAGGCCGACGCCCAAGCCCTCTACGAGGTAAGCATGAAAGGCTTGTTTTAGATATGGCGCGGCAAATCACCGCAAACAAAAATACAAAAAAAAAAAACCGCCGCGATTTTGGACGTGTAGAGAGAAGGGCAATCGCCCGCGACAAGTGACATGCGCATTGTGTTATAAAATACAGAAATATGAAGCGTATTACACTTTATGACGTCATAAACGAACCTTAAGGGGACGGTCGCATAAAAGTAATATGTGTACCGCTGGAATATATACACTTTTAAAACCAAAATAAAAAGGTACTTTGTATTCTGTGAACGGTTAAGAAGTTTTAAGAAAATTAAGGATAGCATAGATCTCCCGTCACTGGGTGTCGACTGTCCAGTCCAGATGATAGGCGTAGATATTTTGCTCTCTCTGATTTTCATTTTACTAGGACTGTATATGATCGGTCTTAGGTTCTTCAATATAACTGAATGCACGGTGAATATTAGGCAAAAGAAATAACTTGAATCGTTTAAAGAATGATGTATTTGATGCGAATATCCTTTTTTTTTTTAAATCGCAACGGGGGTGAACCATGTTTATGATACTTCGTTTCTTTCTGTGGATTTAGAGAATTTGATATAATTATTGCTTACATTATCCGAAAGAATGTTGGTGTACTAAACAGTAGCAAATTCTAAAAGAATTAACATGCTGCTGTGTTTCAACAAAGTTTACCTGTTTCTTTTTTAAGCTACCTGTGAGGGCCGAATACCTCAGCCTTTTCACGTTAAAATAAATTTCTTTATCTCTTTATTTTTTGAATATTTTTTAGGCTGGAGCAGCAAAGTGGGGTACGGATGAGTCTGAGTTTCAGCGTATCATTGGCGGTCGCAGTCGGGAGCATCTCCGTCAGGTTTTCGCTGCTTACGGTTCGGTAAGGATCACTCTATATAATAATGATAATGTTCAGTTCTTGTAAAGCGCATATCACATCATATAACGTCCCTATTTGCTTCCAAAAAATTAACTCTATTACGTGTTTTCGCTGTTTTAAAAGTTTAAGCCTTCAAGCTATATTTATGGCCCAAAAAAATATTTGAACTGTCAAAATACCTCATGGAAAACATTGTTTTCCTATTGGATTGACAAGGTTGGGGGAATACCCTTAAGTTTAGAATTTAACTGTCACAAGAAAGACATGGAAAAATTATGTAAAACAGCAAATTTGCCATATTTTTACTTTGATTTGCTTTGTATATGGTCTGAACTAAAATATGTAAATATTGAGGGGACGAATAACATAATGAGAACGATACTATGGAATAATAGTAATATTAAAATAAGGAACCGAATGCTTCATTTTAAGGTGTGGGAGAGAGGAGGAATAAAAAGAGTACACCATGTTCTTAATGACGGTCGATGGAAAAACTCTGACGAAACTGCCCAAAGATATGGGTTACCCAAAATGTTATTTGCTTTTAAGTTTGCTATGTTGAAAAAGGCTTTCCCCTTGGTATGGTTGCGTAAATCACAGGATGTAGAACGTGATGAAGTAATTGATTTACAGACCATTGAGATTTCGACAGGGGATATGATAGATTTGTCAAAACTTAATACGAAAATAATATATTCACTGATTGTGCAAAAAAATAAGAAAAAACCATATATTTTAAACGCATGGCAACAACGACTACACTTACATGCGGATTTTAATTGGTCATCTGTTCTACAGTTTAAATTTCATGTTGTACGGAATAATAAAATCAGAGAATTTAACTTTAAACTTTTGCATATGATTTTACCATCACGATACAATTTATGCAAATGGAAGATCTTAGATTATAATACATGTGAGATATGTAATACGCTAGAAACCACTAAGCATATGATGTTGGAGTGTGAAAACGTAAGATTGTTTTGGAGAATTGTTTCAGGTGTAATATTCAATTTATGTGGTCTAAATATTCAGATGACTGAACAGATTTTAATACTTGGTTATGAAGTTGAAAACTCAATTTGTCATTTAGTAAATTTAATAATAAATTTTGCTGAGTATGTAATATATAGAAACCACATAAAGAATTTACAATCATTTAATAGAACACATGCGAGAACTCTATATCGTAGTCTTAAATATGAGTTGACATTTTATTTGAACTGTAAAAGTATTAAAAGAGAAAATAACAATATGGTACAGAAATTAATTGAGATGCTGTAGACAACGAAAACAGATGTACTCATGAACAAACTAATGGGACGTTGCAATATTTTATTTGTTTATGATTGTATATGAGTTGAATTTGTTTATTTGAAGGAAAAGAAACAAAAAGGAATGTCAATTTGAATAATAAAGTTCCTCTGATTGAGGTTAAAGAGAAAAAAAAAAAAATATTTATGGCCCAAAATTGCAATCTTTGCTTTATTTAATTTCTTCAATATTTATTTTTTCTTGACTTGTTTTCGATTATTTAGCCAATAATGTTTTGCCTTGCACTTTATAAACTATAATATATACCATACCAACAAAATATATTAAAGCAAGACCTTTTTTTTGTAATTCTAAGTTTGGTCACAAAGATGTATTGTTAATAATCTGTGTCATTATGGATGAGTGTTAGTGTGATGTTAGATTCATCATAGAATATAATGGACAGTATTTCGTTGGAGGAAGAATGGTTGCCTAGCAAATATAACAGCTTTGAACTAAATTTTGAGCTTAAAATACACCTTCATGTGTACCCTTTTTTCTAATTGAATTGCATATTGAATTGCATATTGAATTGCATATCGTAAATAATTCTTCTTTTTCAGTTGACGAGTAAATCGATCGAAGATGCAATCAAGAGCGAGATGTCTGGTAACGTGAAGACGGGATACCTCAATCTGGGTAAGAGCCAAAAGGGCGTTAACTAACAAATCCCCCTTCCAAGACCTCACACAAATTTTCTTCAACATAGTCCATTATACCATGCATCAAAGCTTTTTAATACCCTACTCAACGATATCAGAATTATAAATGTTTTTAAATCTTACAACATTGAGATTAATAAAATTCAAGATATTTGCTCACTTCTTTCATCTCGTAGATAATCTCCCCCCCCCTCACTTTGTCACTATGATTCTATTTTGTACTTAAATTTCTGTAAATATGTTCACTTGTTATAACTTGCATATTTGTTTGTAAATTGTATTTTCAGTGCTTTATATTCTGTTCTAATTATATGTAATCACGGCCTCGCTGAAAAACAGCTTTTGCTGAATGCGGGCACAATTGTATTTTTGTTTTTAACCGTGAATAAATAAAATATACCATGTGGTCAATAAATATATAGGGTCACCATAGATTAAAAGTGGGTCGTATAGGAGGGAGGGGACAGCTGCGGTATTGGTAATAAGGAGGAAGAATGCAGTTTTAAAACATTTCATAAGACAATAGCAACCAACCCTCATCCCCTCCCTCCTATGCCCCTGCCACTCTCCTCTGCGTTGCTCTATATTTATTTCTATAATGTCCCCCCCCGTCCCCACCCCATCTGTCTCTATCTATGTCTCTCTCTCTCTCTCTCTCTCTCTCTCTCTCTCTCTTCCTCTCACTCTCTCTCTCTTCCTCTCACTCTCTCTCTCTCTCTCTTCCTCTCACTCTCTCTTCCTCTCACTCTCTTCTTCTCATTCTGCTCTACACCCACCCGTCCACATTATTTAAAAATCATCCTTGTCTTCAATGTAACATCAATTTGCGTCTTTTTGTTATTATACCTTGGCAAAACTTTCGTGTCAGGGGATGAATTAAATTGAACTTTAAATTGAATGACCCGTTTCTCACATCTTTCCAACCTAGTCCGATTCATCAATGACCCCATTCAGTACTATGTGGACAAACTGCACAAGGCAATGAAGGGCTTAGGTACCGACGAGGCAGTCCTTGTAAGGGTCTTTGTCATGCGTTGCGAGGTAAGAAGTTTTACATCTACTAGAATTACTAGAAATGTCCATTATTCTGATTTTTAATTTTAATTATAATATATGTAATATCCAGGTACATGTATAAACAAAACAGAAACGACAACACAGAGCATATAACATGAAAAACTTACAAGACAGTGAAAATGCCACCAGTGGACGCCTGAGGATGACCTAAAATTATTTTCATTCTGTCATGAGGTTCTCCACGTCCGCTGGTGTTACATGTGAATAAATTTAAGAAGTAACGGTAAACTAGCATAACATAATTGATTGATTGATTCGATTGTTGCTTTTATTTTTGTGAGTAATGCACAAGGTGAGAGGATCTCAGCTTATTATTGTGTGATGCTTGATTATTAAATATGGCATATATACTGTGGATGAAGGACGATAAAATACTTAGCTAAATTAAAAATATATATTGTCCTATTTGGTTCATTTCCTTCCAATTTTATTCATCACTTTAGATCGACCTGGGAGACATCGCCCACAGCTACCGCGCCCACCATAGCAAGAGCTTGGCCGATGCGATCAAGAGTGAAGTTGGGGGAGACTTCAGGCGAGCACTTGATGCGCTTCTCTCTTAGATTCCAGCGGGTTCTCGTTCTGGACTGGAAATAATTCGTGTCAGATATTGATGAGTTTCGCACATCTCAAATCTCTTTTACCTATAAAGGATATAACCAGGAAAATAATGCTTCCCGCATCCCCCTTAAGTGATCTGTCACTCACCTTCAAATTTGATACCCTAAAAACTCATGAAAAATGTGATAACCTGTTTAAATTGGCAGGTACTTTTCAGAAACTTTCCCCCCAACCAGCTGACATTAAATGCCCCCCCCCCCGGCCCACACACACCCAAAGGGCACCTGAAAATTTGGATAAACCTTTATTATTTATATTAACACATATTTTCATAATCATCCCTCCCCCTTAAACAAAAAGAAGAAAGAAAGAAAAAAAAAACATTACGAAAACCTGGCTTTACCCAAAACAAAACACAACTTCACCCTCTATAAGAACTGGTTATGCTTTTAAAAAAGAGATAGAGAGAGAGAGAGAGAGAGAGAGAGAGAGATTTGCCAATCGGTGTGAAGCAAAATGTTATTTTTGAATCACGTGGGTGTCGGTACACATGTAAATGAATTAAATGGAAATTGCTAGCAATGTTACGACTAATTTAACGGGAAAATATATGAGAATGTTAAGAAATTATTAACAAACAAATCAGAGATGATTTCTGGTAAGGATAGATTATATTTTAGACAATGTATGACAAGATGTACGTTGTATCAATTATTTTCGTCAGACGAATAAATATATATTTTTTTGTAACTAAATGAAAACAGTCACAAATCACAAGTGCCTTCATGATTGAGAACACATTAAAAGGCTTTCACGTTTTAAGAAATGGTTTATCAGGAATCTTTTATAATAAATATGACTTAATAAATATATATCCGTAAAGCAATATCAAACTTAGAGGCTCAAGATTACGCAAGACAAGTTTGTTTTTATACGAATGTATTTCTCGATCGCTTCATGCCCAAAAATGAGCATGTAGGGAATAAATTGGATATTGTGTATTTTTTAATAGTAGAGTAATAATTTATTATAATGCTTTATAGTGGTGGTGGTTTTGGCTTACTCTTCTGATTTTATTATGAAAAATATTCACTGTTAGCATATTTTTTTTTTACACCCTGGCTTAAGCCGGGAATGGTTTCAACCAACCCTCTTTTCGTGTTTTTGTTTCTGAGAAAAGTAAAGCAATGTTTCCAACTTAGTCATATTTGTATGTATGCTCCTTATGAGGTTATATTTACAAATGTATATTTTGTCGGAATATTTTGAAATAACAATTGTCATAGAAATGATAGAGTTAATTATAACATTTAAAGGCTGAAAACAGTAAAGGATATATTAATGAATAAATGGAGAAAAATAATATCTTTATTGCTGTGTGTCTTTATACGCTGAAATCGACATAGACCTTTGACCACATTACCATATCAAACGGTACTGGATTATATATATATAGAGAGAGAGAGAGAGATATAGAGGGTGCGGGGAGAGAGAGGTGGGAGAGAGGACGACAGAGAGAGAGAAAAGAACCAGAGAGATGGAGAGAGAGAGGAAGGGAGGGGAGGGGATGGGACAGAGGAAAATAATGTCAATGGAAAGAAAGAAGAGATATAATGGAAGAGAGAGAGAGAGAGAGAGAGAGAGAGAGAGAGAGAGAGAGATCTAAAAACGGAAAGGTTCATTACATTTATTCTAGTCAATGATTTAGAAAGAACAAACGTACATTGGAACCATACGTTCCGGCCGCGAATCGGCCGAGAGAAAATGAAAAAGAAAACACCCCTCCCCCTCCCCTTCCTCCGCCTCACTCGAAATAGCCTGCAGAGGGCTGGCTGAGTTTCGGAGGGAAATCTAGTACCCCATTTCAACCTCTCTCTCTCTCTCTCTCTCTCTCTCTCTCTCTGTTTCTGTTTATCCCCTTCCCTCTTCCTCCCCGATCCGAGTGAGAGAGATTCTCGCTAAAAGACGAGCGGGTTTCCAGAAATTTTGTTCCTTGGAAAAATGTCGAGAAAATCCACCCCCCCTTCACCTTCACCTTCCCCCACCCCCTTCACCTTCACCCCACCCCCCCATTCCCCAATCCCGTCCCGTCCCCTTCCGAGCCCATTTCAAATAATTCACAGGTTCCGCCCCTTGTTAATCTATTGAACCATTAGTAAAACGGCATGTTCCATACACAAATCATGAAAATTGTTAAAATGAATCGTCTAAAGTAAAGCCCCCACGCCGATTGTGATACCGGAAGTCTAGACAAAAATTAATGTTGCAGTAAACTGCTCTGTACCACCAAGTTCCCGCAGAAGAAAAGAGGAGAAATATTACCTCCCTATCATTTTGAAAATTATTAGTGTATAACTTTCACCTCTGGCCAACTATCATGATTTTGGCAATGATTTAATATTTTTACCAGGTCTCAAATTCCCCTGTTGTGACGAATACGTTTGTTTAGTGCCACAACTCCACCCCACCCACCCCACCCCCACCTATGACGCAGATCTGTTCCGTGCGTGAGTAAATAAAGGCCCGGCGCACTGCACGAAGTCCTCTTCCTGTTACAACACCCTCAGCTCAGTCTTCTCCATCGCCGAGTATCTGCAGGACGTACTTCCTCCCCCTCTGTTATCTTTCTCTTCGAGTGAATTCTCCAGCCAAAACTCCAAAATGAACAACAGAGTGAGTACAGATTTATTTCCAAAATCTCAATCCTTCATAGTATGTTCATTTTCATCTTTGCTTGTTACCTATACGAATTCCTTTTCTTTTCTGTGCTTTTAGTACCTCTTTTTGCCCATACCTTTAAAGTAATCCTTCTCCTACTAACGATACCCACATTATGCAAGCTTATATTTTACATTAATGTATTCAACACTTGATTTTCTTGCTCTGTTGCATGTAGCTTTGTGTTCTGTAGTCGACGATATCCGTCTATGCTTTGACAAGAAGTGGATCATAACTGTAAATCAGATTTATGAAAATCAACATAATTTATTATCATTTCCGTTGCTGCAGAACTACTGTTCTTCAAAAATAACGTTCCGGAGAAATGTGACGATTTAAAAAGAAATAATGATGTTGCCTTCTGTTGCTAATGTTTAGTGGTAGACAATCATGAAGAAGAATTATTCTTGGCGAAGTTGTCTTTAAATCCTTGCTCACACAATGTATATTATGTAGACTGTTTGAAATGTTTTTAATTTTAGATGCGATCAGTTTGCACGCCATTTTACCCGCGACTGCCAACAGATTATTAATATGGATTTGATTCCCACTCCCAACAATGAACATTCAGTTTCCTTAAATAGCGCAATCAATGATAATATTGAGCTTCATATTATGCATGGCATGGCAATGCGAGTGCAAATCAATAATAGAAACCTACTGGGAGCAGACATCATTATAATATTTCGTTCATTGTATACACATACATGTACAGTGTAATAGCTAACCAGGTACGTTAAAAGGAGCTGCTTTTAATATTGTGTGATGTTTAATTGTGCGGTTAGTACAGTATTTATTAAGGCGTTATCTGTCCACATTTACGTAATACATCACTAGGGTATTAATGATTAGAAACCTCCCTCATGTTAGTTTGAATGATGGCTGAGTATGTCTTAATTAGCAGAGAGGATAAAGTCCAAGTAGTAATATATACAGAGCGAGAGGTCCACTTATGCCGACCCTCATCTCGAAATATATCATGGATATGTTGTTGATTAACGCACGAATGCAAAAAAAAAACAAGAATGACGAGTGTTTCGATGACAACGAAAGGATATATCACTTATGATGATATTATGACATGGATGAATGAAATGCAGAACAAATCCTCTTCAGGTACGTTGTTGGTTAAGTCTGTCATATCTATACAGTGCGTCCTAGAAAAAAAAATCGAATCCGAGAATTATCGACTTTGTATCATAACTTAATCACAATTGTAATTAATAAATGACACATAATCTGTAAAGTTTGGATCCTCCTCTTTCATTTGATGCAACTCACATGATGCATATTTCACGCATGAGTGATTTAAAAAAAATTGAAGAGAGGGTACCAAAAAGTCATTTGGCGGGCGGTATCTGAATTTCAAAGTCTTTCGTCTTCTTTGTGCATGGGCAGAGCCCCGGGACGCTCTCGAGTTTCGCAATTAAGAAACATGTAGGTATAGCCGTCGAGAGCGATACAAACTCTAATCCATCCCTTGAAATTTTGATTTCAGTGCCGCTTTTGTGTGCTTTTTTAAGAGTAGAAACAAGCCCTCATAGTTTGGCATTCCATCTCATTCAGTAGTAGATTAAGACCTTAAGACTGGAAACAACATTCGATGGGGGTGACGCCCATTTAATTGAGTTTGAAACGCTCTTCTGTCCAAGAATGGAAGAAGAATCCGTCTGCATTTATAAAAAGGATTAAACCGTAACTGAATAGGGATAGTTACATTTCTTCGCTCCAGTGATCTCCAGGCAGCGGACAGCAAGAAATTGTGTAAATAATAAAAGGTGAAATATGCATCATATAAATTGCATCAAATGATAGAGGAGGATCTAAGCTTTCCAAATGTGTGTCATTTATTAATCATAATCGTGATTAAGTTATGATAAAACATCGATAATTCTCGGATTCGTTTTGACTGGGACGCACTATACGGTGCGTATAAACAAAAGTCTACCCAACTTTGTTAGCTTCGAATTAAAAAGTTATAACCTGTGTGACCTTGAATAGTAATTTATTGTAAAGAAAAACTAATACCCTGTTTAATGATACCATTTTCATAATTGTGCTGCCAAGGATGACTGAACAGCAGGCTATTTTCAAAATCCTCTTGTACTAAGTTTGGGCTGAAGCAATGAATGTGGGCAAAAGCTCATTCCAGAAAAAAAACGTTCATATATTTACATTGACTATGAACAGGCACTTGATAACAACGTGTCAATATTAACTCAAATTCATGAAATGATTATTACAAGCAAAACATTATGATATTCTTTTTGTTATGATGATTAAAATCGTGACTTCATTCGCACCCCATGTTTAAGGTTACCATATTGAGTGATACAAACGGGATAAAAGTAATTTGGAATGTTATATTTTTTCATGAAAGTCTGCTGTCAATTGCGTTGATATTGATATCAACGCAATTGACAGCAGACTTTCATGAAAAAATCCCATAGAACACATATTATGTGTTCTTGATTTGGGTTTAATAACCTTTGAGTTTCCATTCACCATTCGAGATGAACACCTTTAATACGCCCCTTACGCGTGTGTAATCGCGCAGTGGACAAGTGAGAAGAGAGAATAGATAACATGAGACAAGAAGTTAGTAAGCTGTCTAAACCAATTAAAGCCTATCCTGTGGATTGAAACAAGGTTCTGTGAAAGCATAGATACATTGAATCAATATGAAAAATGATGCACTGAAGCACGAGGCATAATTTAAAATTTAAAAGGATTTAAGACCAAAGAAGCACATGCATATGGCCTTTTTTAATTGTGACTATTTTCTTTTGAATTTTTTTTTACATAATCTTTGTTTACATATTTCAGCCTACTGTGACGGAGTTCGAGGGATTCGACAAGGATACTGATGTCCAGGTCCTCAGGAAAGCCATGAAAGGACTCGGTAAGAACTTGTAGATGGTAAACAAGGCCACTTCAGAATTTCGCAATTAGATGGATCAATCTCCGTATCAACAAAAAAAAAAAAAAATACAAGCAAAGGTCACCAAAGGTCACCACATTTTCTCCAGTGCTGACTTGAAACCTCACATCACCAACAAGCATGCAAGCAAGGAAGAAAAAATTAATAAGCAATAACAACAATAATTATCCTAAGAAAAAATAATGGTTTACACTGCACACACAAAATGTCACTAGCCGAAAAAACGGTGTCCGGATCCCCATGCCATTTCCCCCACCCTACCTATCTTTAGATTATGTCTCATATTAAGAAAAATGTGCTGTCCACATTACAAACATTTTTTTTTCCATTTGGGTAATTACTGCACGAATTTAAAATTATCATGCAAAATGCGTTGCATTACACGTCTATCCGGTTGACATTTTCAACTTTTCGTCACCGTGAATTACAAGTTTGATAATCCGATCAAATGTCAGTGTGAATCCTATGGGAGCAGGGATTGGAATAATTTCTATAGAGACTGAACAGAACCAACGAATTTTTCGGGTAGTTGCCTTTAGATTCGCACGAAATTGCGACCCCATAAATTCGTATGACTCAGGCAGTTCTTTAATCTAAACCTGAACAGTCGGTACGTGTTGAACTCTTGGATTTAAAGAGGTTAACAGGATTACGTGATATTTCGATCCCTAATTCGCTGATGACAGCTTAGGTGTGAGAACCACAGTAACATGGTTTTGTGTGGTCCCTCGAATCTCGTCATACAATGTCATATTACCCCAGTTTAATAGCCTAGCCGTCAATATGCTGCATTTAAAGAGAAGGTCGAGTTCTGGGAAGAGGTGAAAAATAATTTGTGAGCGTTATCATTATTATTATGCAAGTGTGGAAGAACATCAGATAAAAAATGTTCCCTGAAAAGCATGGCTCTTCAAAATGTCTTAATATGTAACAGTATCCAATTCGGGACGGATTTTATGCCACATGTTCGTGTAGTCCCATGCACGTATTTCTGTGTACAGTGTTTGTAACCAGGGCTCAAATTAATTTTTTGTCCACGCGGACTCTTCCAACAAAAAAAAAAGCCCCCGTGAGAAGATTTTAGTGCTGACGGGGGCTCTTACTTTAATACAAATTTCCATTGAATTGGTACTCATGAAACTCCTAAATTCCTTGGTATTTTATCATTATCATTTATTTAAAGTCGGCATTTTCGCTCTTAGAAATTTACTTGTTACATAGCTGAGAAGGGAAAAAAGAAGTTGAAAAAAAGGGGAAAGATATATATATATATTTTAAAAGTGTTCCTTTCCCACTTGTATCACAGAGAAACAACAGTTTAAGTTAAGTCTAACGTTAACGTTAATTTGTTATTAAAATGTAGAGTACAGCCCTTGGCCTTAGCCCTAATTTAGGTCGTAACTGTTACTGTTTGAAAATCTAAGGTAAAATTAGACGGTTTTCATGGTTAGACCAAGTAATTGATACAAAAAAAAAGTTTACCCGTCACAGGTCAATCAAAAGGCCTTTGCCTCCCCTGCCCCCGCTAAAAAAGAGAGAAGGAAGGAAAATGAAAAAAGGAGAGCTAAAAGGGACCAAAAAAGAGGAAGAAGAAAAAAAAGGGTGAAAAGAATTTCGATGCGGTGTTCGAGTAGAATTCTGTGAGATGATGATATACTTTCTGACTCGTAACTTTTTGTGACAAAGTGTCTCTATCCAGATATCTGTTGATAGTATTATAGAATATAGAAGCCTGAAATGACCTTCTGCTCGTAACCGACAAGTCACCGCATTAAAATTAAATTGCAAATAGTGTTCAACAACATGATGGTGGATGAAACTTTCTAATATTCGAAGATATATGACCTTCAGACCATATTGTTTCGTTATTTTTATTCAATCAATCAACGTCAAAGAATTGATTTATCATCGCTCTTCAATTTATTATTTCACCTTTCAATGTACTTTCATTCTTATGCATCACGAAAGAACACTGAATTGGATTCTTCGATGTTTGTTTTGAATTATTTCCTCCCCTTTCCTTCTCCTTGTTTAATACTTATACAATTTTCAATTTTTCTTAATCAAGCCAAAATATTATTTTCATATTTTCTTTAAGCAAGACAGGGAGAGAGAAAGAGAGGATATGTTAAGTGGGAATTATCGAGTACAACTGTGAAAAGCATCTTTTTCAATATTATTTAATTCGCTGAAAATATTCAGAATATGAATATGATAAATCCACATAATACACCAACGCTGTTCAACGCATCCAACCATAGCCCATATGCCAATGCACCATATTTATCAAATATGAAAAGATTTTTAAATGAAATTTGAAGAAAAAAAAATCAAATTAACAATGCACTAACAGGCATCAGTTGAAATCATGAATTCTCTGTGACTGGCTTAGCACTAGTTTCTGAGGGACCAGTCACCGAAGAGGAGATAAAGGGAAGGAAAATTGAGGAAGAAGTAAAGAAAAGAAGGGGGATATCAGTTGCAATTTTCCCGCCAACAAGTTGCAGATCGGGATGGGGGTGGGGCAAAAGGCCTTTGCCTTCCCCGCCCCCGCTTAAAAAAAAAAAAGAGAGAAGGAAGGAAAAGGAAAAAAGGAGAGCTAAAAGGGACCAAAAATAAAAAAAGGAAGAAGAAAAAAAAAGGGTGAAAATAATTTCGAAGCGGTGTTCGAGTAGAATTCTGTGAGATGATGATATACTTTCTGACTCGTAGCTTGAAGTGTCTCTATCCAGATATCTGTTGATAGTATTATAGAATATAGAAGCCTGAAATGACCTTCTGCTCGTAACCGACAAGTCACCGCATTAAAATTAAATTGCAAATAGTGTTCAACAATATGATGGTGGATGAAACTTTCTAATATTCGAAGATATATGACCCTCAGACCATATTGTTTCATTATTTTGTATTCAATCAATCAACGTCAAAGAATTGATTGATCATCGCTCTTCAATTTATTATTTCACCTTTCAATGTACTTTCATTCTTATGCATCACGAAATAACACTGAATTTGATTCTTCAAGGTTTGTTTTCCTCCCCTTTCCTTTTCCCTGTTTAATACTGATACAATTTTTAATTTGTCTTAATCAAGGCAAAGTATTATTTTCATATTTTCGTCTTTTTTGTCTACTAATTTAATGAAACGTCAAAGCTTCCGAGCTTCGCGCGGACGGGGGGGGGGGGGTAAAATGAATTCAGACGTGGATTATTTTCGAGAACGGTACAACGAAACGTCCCTGCAACATCTTTGCTGATCTTCTTCTCAATATTTATTTATTGGTCGATTTACATTATTTGTTGTTCTTTTAGAACAACCATATTTCACAGGATTCATTTCACAACGAAAAACTTCTCCATGTTTCAGTCCTTGCGCGATCGTCTCCAGCTCCAGCAGATATTGGGCGTCAGCGTGCACATCGGTGCTACCGGCGCAGTATAGCCACTGCTGACGGCCGCATTAGCTGCACTGCGAGCTTCCGTTGTTTGTATCGGTAATACATAGAGACGGGAGAGAAAGCGCCATCTAAGTTCCATTTCATTGATTTAAGGTTTGAAAATTGATACTCATTTTGTGTTAAAGTTATATTAAAAAAGATAATCTTTATTTTATAATTCCACGGGGGCGACTTTTAATTTTGCAATCGCCCCCGTGGGCAACCTGACGGGGGCGATTATGGAGCTAACGGGGGCGATGGGCAATTCGCCCCCGTTAGCTCCATAATCGCCCCCGTCAGTGTATTTTTGGCGCTGTTTGTAACTTTACCAAGACTGGGCCGGGGGGGGGGGGGGGGGGCGGGGGCTCAACCTCCTTCTTTTGCGCCACGTGTTTTTTGTTCTTCTTAATTTCTGTCACAATTCAATTTCTGCAGATTGAAAACCTTTAATTTGGAGATCCAAAAGTGTCAACATGATTTAAGTGCAATTAGTTATCTATTAACATAAACACAACTCATTTTGTACACACTTCAACCACCCTAATGCACACCGAGCTACATATATGACAATGAACTTAATGATTGATAACTTGCCCTTAGAACAAAAATGTAACTCTAGGTTTCTCGGAGTGATTATTGATGAAAGTCTAACATAAAACGACCATTTCGATTATATTAAAACATTTCTAAAGGTGTAGGAATTATTTTATTTATTTTAATTGTATAATAAAATGATACTTCAGTATATTACTTATTGTAATATTGTTTGGGCAAGTTGTGGGAAGAAAAAACTAAACCTAATTAATTTACTGCAAACAAAGACTATTTGCATTTAGACCGGATTATCATTCCTTGCAAATTCAGAATCCCTATTTTAGAAGTCGAAAACATGAACAATTGTGTTATATATCAATACTTTGCAGGTTGCAATCTTTATGTTCAAAGACCAATAACCTACTTCCTCCGGCATTCCACATCCTCTCCAAGCGCTCCAAGCGCTATAGTTCTCCTTAGAACTATATGCTAAGAAAGATTACAAACAGTCCTTTTCAGGACTACACACCCCCAAGAAAGATCACCGAGTCGGAGTCCTTTTCAGGACTCCTCAACTCTCCCTCCCCCTCTCTCTCACACATGGTACACCCGCAAGCCTACTGTATATTCCACAACCTATTTGGTATAAACATCACCATACATTCTTATCCGACACGAAACTCTCAGAACTCTCATGTGAAACCCCAATTTGCTAATTGCACATGAATCTATCCGACACCATCCCTGACCTATGGAATGGTCTCGCAACTACTATTAAATCATGTGCTACGATATATTCTTTCAAGGTTATCATGAAGCATAACTTATTATCAACCTACTCGTCATAATTCAATCAATAAGCGCCCCAGACACATAATTTATTCATGTGAGCTAAGCACTCGTAGCAATCGTACTCACACATGCATACATTATTATCAGCATACAGGTCATAATTAAAGCGCTCCAGACAATCACTCGTACACAGCTATGTACTTACACATACTGTACACGAAAAGAACATGAATAACATGTTTCACAACAAACATACACTTGATAATTATTCACATTCACACTTAACACTTATGCTTGAAATAAAAATGATTTCCTTCATTATGTCGTTGTTATAATTAGTTTATTCATGATTATATAGGTTATACGTTTGGTCGCCGATAGTTCCGGCGATACATGTAGTTCCTTTCCAAAAGCCGCCATCACGTTTAAGCTCTAGCTTAAGATGGATGTCTCCTGCATTTTCCAATCTTGAAATGATTTGTCAACTACTTCTCTAAGGCATAGTTATTGAACTGATTTATATTATGATATGATTATGTTTATTTTGTTAATAACATGTATATGAACCTAGTTTTTGTATTACGTATAATTACTTTTTATGTTGAAAATGCAGGGGAAAAAATCAAACAAACAAAATAGATATGCCGGGTTTTCAAAACTTATTATAGTTCTATGTAGGTTAATGAACCCCTTGGTTTGATTTGATTTGATTTGATTTTCTTTTTTCATTGACGTTGTAGATTTTAAATAAATCAACATAGGGATGATTATAATATTTGTTTGAATATAATAAAAGCGGCTACAGGGTGCTGGCTGTAGCCGCCTAATTATATTCAAACAAATCTTATAATCATCCCTCCCCTATCTCCTTCTTTAATGCTTGAACGGATGAACCCAAACTAGATATTGTTATCAAAACTGGCAATCATCATCATGCGCACCTTGCATGTTTTGTCTTCTTCTTCTTTCATCATTATTTTTTTCTTTTTGAAAAAAAGGGAAACAGGTTGGATGAGATTATGTTGTGATATGAATCTGGCACGTCTCATCGATTCACACCTTACATAAGTCTGGTTGATTTGTACAGGGTTTATGAGTCACTGTCTGTCTGTACATCCTTAGCACACATGAATCATAGATTTAATCTCCAAGACAAATCTCGGTCGTGGAGCAACCGAGAAGGTTTGACTTGACTCATGGGGCAAACTGCACAGATGGATTCTTTTTCTTGCAGGGGGAGAGGGGGGGGGGGGGGGGGGGAGGGGGGGGGGCAATAGAATAGAAAATGATTTTTTTTTTTTTTTTTTGCCTGTTTATTTGCTCGCTTTTTTTTCTTTCTTTTCTTCCTTGACATGAATTCAAAACATTGTCATTACATAGATTGTACGATTGATGAAAAAACAAAAATGAAATCAGTTGTAACATAAAACAAATAACCCATCCAACCAAAACACACTCCCCCCCCCTCCTCCCCGCCATGTGACACACACACCACCATATCGTTCCTTCTTTCTTTATCTATTTCATTTTTCTTTCGTTTTGTATTATTCCCTAGTTTACTTCATATTGCGCTATTTCATAGTTGCATTCTACATTTAAACAAAAGATGAACTTTAGAATATTCGACATTTCGCATGAAGCCGTTACTCTGTTTATGGCAAGCACTTGCCATTTTATTACCAAATTTAAAAAATGGTTTGTTTAAGTATGTCGCTATGGTTTCTTTCACATTATAATCTTTTTCACAAAACAAAATCAATATTGAATGATCTGGAGTATGATAAGAACGGTTGTATTAAACCCTACAGTCTGACATAAAATTGTATTTCCGCCTACGGGTAAAATCAACAAAAATCTTCAAAGCCAAGATTTATATTAATATGTATTACCGAGGGTTTGAGTAACGTGTTACCCCCCCCCCCCAACAAAGAAAAAAAAAGGGGGGATACTGAATACCAGCATTTTGCAAATGTTTTTAAAACGAAATATTTAAATAACTAAAGGAGACAACGAATTTCGGATAGGATTTGTAGAGAGATAAACTGTATAGGTTAATTTGTTTTCTTCTTTTTTCATATGAAATCAGCGTTCTAAGTAAATTAAAGTACAGTAACTGAAATTTGCCTAACATAAACTCACTCCTTATAGACGTGGCACGCATTCCTCAATCTTTGCTCCCTTTAACACCGTTCAATGAAAATGTTTGGATACCGGTTATAACGTTAGCATATTCACATGTAAACTTGTTGAGTTCTGTTTGCCCTACCTTAATATTAACTGCGTTCAAAGACCAAGAGCAAACTTTCGAGTACTTGGTCAAACAAATTAAAGATTGAAGTGTTTGATCTTTATTCAAGATTAAAGGAGGTACCACGTATAGCAAATTCTATAGCCTTACACGCCCACCTGGTTTCATAGGTGAGTGCTTACAAGATTGGACACACGCCTGACGCATCCTTTGAATACCATTGTACCTTTGATCAAAATGGACCAAATCAATGATTTAAAGGTATAGACCAGTTCTGGTCATGCGATTGCATTGTGCAAAAACGTTGTGGAATCGATCAGAAAATGTTGATGATCTAGCATATAAGTATTGGTGTGTACTGCAAGGTTCTGGAATCATCAAAATGATAAGAAATTTGTCCCAGTCTTGCTAAAGTTACAAGCACTGCATGTACAAAGAAATATGTATATGGGACTACGCGATATCTATCCAGTCAGGATAGATATAATAATTTACCAAATATATCATTTAGTAGGCGGTTTCCCGGCAAAATTTGTATCATCACGTATTAGTCAAAACATATTCTTTCACATGATTGGTAATAAGAGCTTCAATTTCATTTATGAGAGGGGGCGTTTCCAAAACTGGTCTACACCAATATGTGATCGCATCAAAGATATTTTAGTATGTGAATTATATGATGATAGTAATATCTTGATTTATAAAGGTCCTTGTCCAGTCGATGCATGTGTAGCGCTGTCCCTAAGTCTAAGGACAAGAATTATAAATGTTTCGTTCATACTATTTGCGACCCGGGTGGTGAAGTGTGACGTCATCAAAAATCTAATTTTAGAATTTCTCGATTTTTTCTTCATTTTCCGAAAGAGCATCAAAAATTATGTCAAAATGTCGAAAACCAATTGAATATGTTAATTATTGGCTGAGATATGACCACCTGAATAAATATATGTCCTATGGGAACTCAGTGTTATATGCTCTGGCTCCTAATGGTTAGAAGCCCTCTCCATTCAAACCAGCAATAACAACGTCCATTCAAAGCCGACGGGGCGTCAATTATGTGCTAATATATAAATTAACGCAATTCTGGCTCAAACCAGTTTACTGATGTAGGTATTTTGTTTTGCACAGTTTACCAAATGGTTATTGTAATTTAATTATTTAATTTCCAGGTACTGACGAGCAAGCTATCCTCGATATATTGTGCTACAGAACCAACGACCAGAGGCAAGAACTCTCAAAGCACTACAAGGCTTCTTATGGCAGGGTAAGTTGGGTATGAAAAGAAAGGGGAGGGGGGTGGTCAGAGATACCTACTAAGACCAATGGCGTAGCGAGCATCTTGCCAGATAGAGGGGGTCACCAGTTCTATAGTAAGGGGTCAATTATTTACTTCTTCTGCCCTTCTACTTCACCCTTTTCTTCCTATCTTCTCCCTTCTCCCTTTTTTCCTTCTTATTTTTTCTTCTTCTTCTTCTATTTCTCCTCCCATTATTTGTGATCTCCTGTTTTCTTCTTCTTTATTTCTTCCTGTTTTACCTCCTTTGTTTTTTAATACTTATTCTCTGTATAGTATTATTAGCGATTCCAGCTGCACATTTGAAGAATGGGGGGGGGGGGGGGGGAAGCAATATTCCCTCCCGACATACTTCCGACCAAGAAAGAAATGTAACCACCTTTTACACACTAGTATCATAGTTTAAGTGACTATGATAACGATTGCACATTAAGACACATTAAAAGTGTTTTCGACAAATTTCGAAAACACTTTTTTTTTTACAAAATAAAAATGTTGGTGGATATCCCCCCCTACCCCTTTTCACGAAAGCCATAGTCCTTCAACTTGATTTGTCAATGGACTAAACGTACGGATAAGGTCATGTAGACCGATACATCCCCCCCCCCCTCCTTCCCCGAATATAAGATCTGAATACGCCACTGAGCTATTCTAATATACTGTCATGTAATTTTCTTAATTTTTTCATCCAGGACCTGATCGATGACCTCAAGAGCGAGCTCAAGGGAGATTTCGAGGACATCATCGTCGGTATCATGACTCCACTCCCTCTCTTCGATGCCACGTGTCTCAAGAATGCGATGTCGGTAAGGATCTTTAACGAGAGCGATAAAGATGACAATCGGTCATGATGATAAAACACGAAGGCCAGTCGTCTTCATATCGTAATTGTTTCTGCAAAGAATGATGGCGATGCCCAAGAATAGATTATTTAGTCAGAACATTTAGCAAAAAGAGATGTTATCGAAGATATTACTTTGACTAAACATGTAGGCAGTAGTAGGAAATACGTCTACGAATCACCAGTATTTTGGGGCAATTTATGGGCCGAGATAATACACTATAAATAATAAAGTCAAATTTCGTGACTTGGGGCAAGTTATCAAAATATGCAGAAAGGATGTCAGATTGCGACAACTTTAAAAAAGTGTTTGAGAGAAACAAAACAGTTCTACGGACTTATCCTTTAGAGACATAAATTAGGATGGTATTCCACTTTAAAGGCCGTCTGTACTAGTTCGGTCAGAAGGGATTAGACCATCTAGCGAGGTCACTGACAGGTGGCTATCTCATCAACTCAGCTCTCAATTAACATAAGAAAAAGAAGATCATGGGGGACCAACATGCACCAAAAACGTTTTCTATATAGAGGGAGCATGTACATGTAGTTACAAGTAGTACATTGGGGCTTTAGAGTTCAATGTTTTTTAAATACTTTTACCCTTTTGTTTCCGTTCACCACAGGGAGCTGGAACCGATGAAAAAGTCCTTCTGGAAATACTGTGTGCTCGCTCAAACGCAGTAAGTCCTTTGTCTAGATTATATTTATCGCAGTTCCTCCATTTCGGTTGAATTCTCCTTTGTACTTTCTTATTTTTATTCTAAAGATCATTCATTGTATACTACTGTGACAATGAACAAATGGACAGAGTAAGCTAGAGTTGTGGTTTAAGGCCCTTTCGTCTGCGGTAAATTTCATAGCGGCAAACCTCATCTTTAAATCTACTTTTTTTCTTCTTGTAATCCCGCCCCCCCCCCCCCCCCCCCCCCCCACTCCGAGAACGGACGGACCCTATGCGTGTTGCCAAAATGTCCTTTTCGTAACAAAGAAAAAGGTCGACCATTATTGACTTTACACACCGGACTTTTGCTGAAAAGGGGGGGGGGGTGCTGAAAAAGGCTCGTATACAAAAGAAAAAGGTCGAGCCGTATTGACTTTACACACCGGACTTTTGCTGAAAAGGGGGGGGGGGGATGACGGCAAACCTCATCTTTAAATCTACTTTTTTCTTCTTGTAATTAACTTGGCAAGCTTAAATGCCTCTTTGTCTTTACCACTGTTCATCACCTATCAACTTTAAAAAAAAATGCAGTCTACCCTGTCTATACCTTGAATACCAAAGCTTCTTGAAGAAAGCCGTCTCCAGCTGCCAAGCTTCCAGGTCTAACTTCAAAGGTCACTCGAGGGAAACTATAGACAGGTACCCATTCGGGAGGGGTTCTACATCACGAAATTCTTTCTCAAGGGCGACAATCTACATGGCCACTGTAGACACAGATAGCCTTGACTGTATATTATTCTTTTTTCTTACTCTCTCATCCAATATCACAGCAAATTAATCTCATCAAGGCAGCATATAAAGCAGGTGAGACTTTTCAATATTTACCCACAAAATCTGTACTGCATCAAAAAGACTCTCTAATTTGCATAAGAGTTTAAATCATTAAATGTTGATAGAAGCAGGGTAGTTAAACTAACACAACGTTTCACAAATTTAGTTTGCCCGTGTTATTATCATTATTGCCCATGTTATTCTCTCACAATTGCACAGCAGAGAATTATAGGTATCCAATAATTATATCGTTATCCGCAGTATAAACAGAATTTGCCAAACTCTGTCAATGTGCATTGATCATACTGGTTTGTGTACGTGCAATAGCGCCCTCTCAAGACAAAATGACGAAAATAATTAGATGATGACTCGGATGCTAACATTAAAATGACTAGCCTCTCCCTAAAGATAATATTTTAATAACCATTCTGATCATTATAATACAAAATAATTTACCGGCATAAATCTGAACTGCAAATTTCTTATAGTATATAGTTCATAAAGCACCAAAGAAACAAAGCTTTGATATGGGGTCATGAATTTGGTTCAAATGAACATATTGGAAGCATAATTTATGCGATTCCGATATTCAGTGATCGTTGTCGCGGTTGAAATCGAGTTTAGAGTTATGAAAGTGTAAATAATAAACTCTTTATGTAGTGTTGCTCCCTCTCAAAGTCAAGATATTAATTAAGCTATAAAACATTGTTTCTTGAATAAACTCGACAGATTAGCTATTCCCGTTTGGAAATTAACTACATATTCTGATATCTTCGTGGTCGCTACCATTGTACGGCCGTAGGCGCTTTTTGAATTTTATCAAAATTTACTGGAAGCACCGGTAAATTTTTATATTCAATTTTTCTCGAAAGCAGCAGTGTTTCAGGAGCTAAATTTTCTTGTGCTTATAATACATCCACAGGGGCATCCAAATATATAAAAAATTGTAAAGAGTCACTCTCCGCCCAAGTTTCAACATTTCCCAAAACTTTGTTTTTACCTTTAACCCTGATGGTGTTGATTTTCATAATGTGCCTTTGAAGAGTGGTCGCTTTCAGGGGTCTTTTTGTATTCGTCGAAAATAGAGAGAGATAGAAAGAGAAAGAGAGAAAGAAAGAGACAGAGAGAGAGAGAGAGAGAGGGAGAGAGAGAGAGAGAGAAAGAGAGCACTATGAGGAGATAAGTGTGGAGTAACAGTTGAATCTAATGACCGGGGAAATATTAGGCAAAGCACCTAGAAACGCAGTACAACGCGTTAATATAATAATAATAATAATGATATTGGATATTTATATAGCGCGCATATCCACCCTGCAATGTGCTCAAAGCGCTCCAATATTTCCCTGGCTTAGCTAGGCTACCGATTTCGGTGCTCACAGCATTCAAGGAATTCCTTTCTACCAGTCCCCATTTATTTTACCTGGGTGGAGTGTGGCTATTGTAGATCAATGTCTTGCAAAAGGACATTAGTGCCGCGGCGGGATTATAAAAAGTATGTCGTTATAACAAATATGACTTTTATTGTTACTAGCATAATTATTTATTGTTACTAGCATAATTATTTATTGTTACTAGCATAATTATTTATTGTATGATTAGTCTGGGTATTCAAGACCTGTTTGATACACAATACTTTAATTGGATCATTTCAGCTGGATATGGCGACGATCTTGAGGGCGACCTGGAGAGTGAGACCGGAGGTGACCTCAAACGTCTGCTGGTAGGATTATGCACGGTAGGTCAATGAAATCATTAATAATAATCGCAATAATAAAAATATCTTATGTTACTAGTCAAGTGATCAATATAATGGTGACAGTAGTTGAAATGATCTATTGTTTCATCTTTAGTTACTACCATCACATCTTCGTTAGGCAGAAGCAGACCTTCACTGTCTTGCCTCTAAGAGGCCGCGGCTGTAGGTTTTATTGTATTACCAGCAGCAATACAGTGGTAAATTTAATGATATGTCATTACATATACAAGAAGAGAAACTGTTGGTTGGTAAAAGGGGCCAGATAATAGCACATGTGCTAGTCGAACCTATTACCCCTTAAACAGCTAAACAAAGTAGTTTGGTACAAATCAGTTTAGAAAACGTGACAAAACAAAAATAATTAATTTGCTATTACGATCGATACTCTAAAGTACAACAAGACTTTAATGCCTTACAATATACAAACTGATAATGTAAAATATGATTTGTGTACAAATGAAGACTATTTAACTTGTTATTTCATTCATGATTTGTTCTAAAAATGAATTCTAACAGAATTCCGAAACCTATTTTTAGACATTGTTAATCTGCCATTAATACGAACTCTATTCCAAAATTCACATTTCAATTTGTACATACTCGTATGTTGTTGTCGTTCTTTAGGTGTTTGTGTGTTCCCATTATCTATGTTATCCATGGTAATCCAGATTTTCTCCTTCTCCTTTTTGTGTAACTAAAACGTCCTAATCTTTAATTTGCAGTTTATGAATTCATACAAGTGTCGTCTTCGCTTTCGTTTCCTACTCTCACTCTGTTCTCTATATTTTATTTTTGTCATGGACTTGTTTTCATCAATTGTTTTCCTTGTTCTTGTTTTTACTGCCTACCCCTTTTCTCATACACGTCCGGTTACTTATGAGAACCTCTTTTGATATTCTTTTAACACCCTCCCTCCCCTTTGGTATCACTGATTATAATAATAAATTTTACATTCCGCATACTAAGAATCTTGCTCTACGATTGGTCAAAAGTAAATCACGTGATGAAAGATAGTTCGCCCATTATTGATGGGAGAAGCAAAAAGTTCGTTACACTGTGTACTATCTACACAGTGCAATGCACTTTCACTGAAAATAGAGGTACTATCTACACAGGGCAACGCACTTTCACTGAAGCGCACTAAAACAGGCGTAAATAAGCGCGCATTACCATTGAACGCAATTAAAGAAAACACATGCGCGCACCGTACCCTCAATAAAGGGGTTTGGTTAAACTTAAACTTTTTTGGTGTGAATTGGGGCCTAGGTGTCTTTTATGTAAATGCATTCACGTCCTTTTCTTTTTGTAGTTAAATTGTTTTAGATGTGGAATATAAAGCAAATAATCACCTTTTGGTTTTAGGCGATGGCAAACTATCACTTCCTCGTCGATCAGAATGTATACGCTATCTTTCCTCAGCTTCGCTTCGGAAAGATAGCTACATCCAGATCGCCTCGGAAGTGATAGTTTGTCCCATCACCTTCACCAAAGGTAATTATTTGCTTAATACTTTCCTTCGTCTATTCACCTTTTTAAAGCTGTAATTATAATATTCATTCATTAATCTCCTCCACTCTACCCCTCGTCTCACCCTCTCTATCTGTCTCTCTGTCTCTGTCTCTCTCTGTCTATATCTCTCTCTCTCTCTCTCTCGCTACCCCTATATATCTCTCTCTATCTCTATCCCTGTCTCTCTCTCTCTCTCCCTATCTCTCTCTTTCTTTACCCCTATCTCTCTCTCTCTCTCTCTACCCCTATCTATATATATATATATCTCTCTCTCTACCCCTATCTCTCTCTCTAACCCCCCCTCTCTCTCTCTCTCTGTCCCACTTTCAATTACAGGGAGCTCGTGATGAGTCAGATGAGATTGACCGGGATAGGGTTGAAGCCGATGCTCAATCTCTCGTAGAGGTAAGCTCGTTTCCATGGTTACCTCATCCCTTCATCTCCTGCCCCACCACTAACAAGTACCAATGCACATGTACAAACAATGTAATGAATTTAGCATGAAGAGTTGTAACTCATGTTAATTTAGCAAAGATAGGTGAGAGAGTGGCAGAAAGTTGAACAGATCGAGGGAGGCGAGAGGGAAAATACGAAATGTTTCTTTGTGTGTTTTTATTTCCATACCAATAATTGAAATATATACATATATATTATATGGCAGATAGCCCATTTTAGTGGCATTTACATACTGCCACTGTGTTGTCTAAAGGGTTCTATGCACATAGTAATAAAACGAAAATTAGATTAACAAATCAAAAGGTTAACGGATAAGAGTGAGAATGACAAAAGGGAAATTTATAAGAACAGAGAGAAAGAGAGAGAGAGAGAGAGAGAGAGAGAGATAATAATAATAATAATATTTAATTTTTATATAGCGCTTAATACAAATGTCTCAGTGCTTACAAATATACTATTACCCCGGTCATTGGATTCAGTGCTTGCCCGCACACACTGTGTGCACAATCTCCACTCCCTTGGGAGCATTCCAGCCGGGCGTTACATAACGATAACTACTAGCAGAAATGATTGCACCAACAAGTTAATGAAGATATCCAATACCATTCTAAGAAGGTTTCTGTCATATTTTTCTCCTTTCCCCCAAGGCCGGTGAGGGCCAGCTCGGTACCGATGAGTCTGAGTTCCAGAGGATTCTTGTTGCAAAGAGCGTCCCACATATCAGGGCTGTTCTTCTTGCGTATGCTGTAGTAAGTACCCTCTACCCCCCCCCCCATCTTTCATGCAAAGGATGATCATCTTCACTCCGAAAAAGATGTTGGAATCGTATAGAAACGGGGGATTTAGAATGATCACTAAATTCATACGGATTTTTTTTTTTAAATATGAGCTTTCAAAGCGATTTGAAGCATCCATTAGTTAATTTATTTATTTCTTATGATAGTGATGACTCCATATTTACATAATATAATATTTCAATAATACTTAGCTTTTATATAGCGCTTATTTCTCTAAGCACTTTACAAATATAAATATACAAACATGCTACTACTATTACCCCGGTCATTGGATTCAGTGCTACATAAGGTAGTATTGTTCTTAATTCCTATTCACTACAATCATACTCAACTATTAAAACAGAACAAATTTTAGACATTTTTCAAAAAGAAATTTCATGACCAGTACTCAACATTCAAGGGCAATACAACCCTTGTAAATCCAGAAAAAGAATAAGTTCGAAAGAAAGTGTTTGAAATTGCGCTTCTTGACTTTGTTTCTAATAATGTCATTATTTATCAATCACAATTTGACAGGCTGCTGAAAAGACTATGATAGAGTCTATCAGCAGTGAGATGTCGGGAGACCTCGAGCAAGGTTATCTCAACATAGGTAAGATAAAGACGTATAACCTTTTAACATGAATGATTTTTATGTTTTGACTATCCAATATTAATTGTTCATGTTTCTGAATGTATTATCCCTCCGTGAACTGCCGATGCTTGATAAATATGTCAGAGGTTTGTTAGAAATGTCAAAGGTTTAACCGTTAGAGTTCAAAATGTAAGATGTTAAAATTTCAAAAAAACAAAATGTCAGGTCAAAATGTCAGAGGTAAAATTCTTGGGGTAAACATTGACAAAGGCCAAAATTTTAACCACTGATATGTTTACTCGTGGCATTTTTATGTGTGGCATTTTTACCTCTGACAATTTTACCACTGATATTTCTACCTTTGGTATTTTTACCTGTGATATTTTTCAACTTTGATATTTCACACTGAACCGTACAATCCGGTTTTTGTGTGTATCGTGGTCAAATCCAAAGAGACAGGCCTTTCACAGTCCATGTGTACATAAGGGGGAAAATGTTATTATGTGAGCAGTGCTTTATGGAAAGAGCTTCCATTTGCAGCGCGGACAAATTCATTCACATCTTGCTTCAGAAAAGCACGTATAGTGTACCTTTTAAATGGGTAAAATATAATTTATTGCTAGGTATTTGGTATTTGACTATTTCACCCATTTATACATTTGTATTGTGGTTTTATTTGTAATTAGCTTTAATACATGTAACATTTCAAATTGGTTGTTTATTCTATGTACCCAAATAGAGTTTTTCATACGTTCGAAGGTACCAGGCTCGATTAGCATTTATGTTATTGTATGGTTCCTTTTATCCTTTTGTGTTATCGTACAAAACGTTTTATACCTATTGTCATGTGTTTATTATTTGGATAATAGATTTCAGTTCAGTTCAGTTTAGATGTACCGTAATTAATGGGTTTAAGTATGATATTAACATGATGCTATAAATCATTACGACAGAGACAGACCTTCAGAAAGAGACTCATATACCTCATAAACATTTATTATCATTTCATGACCACTTCACTTGATACCAGATGTTTATTCCCAGGCACTGTCGTCTGTCTGTCTTCCAATGACAAATAGTCCCCAATCACGTGTGATGTAACTCAACAATTCTACCCGCACAATTCCGTAATTATCATTGTTCCATCACAACCAAACTTAAAGATAAAGGTGCGTGGTAAAAAAAAAAAAATCAATTCTCACAGAATCAAAAGAAACTTACACTGAATGTTCAAGATTACAAATAAATGTCATTTGCCTAACAATTTTGGTAGAAAATGTATACTGGCTGAGTAATGAGCATAGAAAGATTAGGAAATCAAGGTTAGTAGCCCCGACACCATTTGTGTAGTCCCATATACATCTTTCTGTGTACAGTACTTGTAACTTTACCAAGACTGGGCCAAATTTATTATGATTTTGATGACTCCAGAACTTTGCAGTACACACCAATACTTACATGCTACATGATCATTTTTTCCGATCCATTCCACACCCTTTTTCACAATGCAATCGGATGACCAGAACTCACCTTTATCTTTAACTTGCATACCGATTGGCACCTTTTGTGTTCGTACAGTCAACTACATCAGGAACCCACACGAGTATTTCGCAGAGCTGCTCTACAAGGCCATGAAAGGACTCGGTACAGACGAGGGCTGTCTCGGCAGGGTGATTGCTACTAGGGCCGAGGTGAGTTCGACCTTCAAAAAGTACAGAACCAGCAACTATCTCCCCAGGGCATTGTCTTATAAAGATTTACAATTGTGCTAAAATCGATCGCAACTTGAAAGAAAACAAAATAATCCTAATTCTTTATACTGAAGTGTCACTAGGATTAGGTTTTATTTTATAAAAGGCTTCCAACATCATTTTCTCAATAGGTTTTTTAAAAATGTTATTGAGATCGTCACTTTTTATTCAATGATCTTCTTTATTCTTTTCTATTTTCCCTACTATCTATGTTTTTTCTCTTTTTCTTCCTTTTTAATGTATATTACTTGTACTCATTTTTTGCAATTTGTATTTATTCTTTGTAATTTGTATTTATTCTTTGCAATTTGTATTTGTTCTTTGTAATTTGTATTTGTTCTTTGTTCTTTGTATTTGTTCTTTGTAATTTGTATTTGTTCTTTGTAATTTGATTACAATGAATAAATACAAATTACAAAGACCAAATACAAATTACAAAGAACAAATACAATTTGTATAATTTTGTATACGGACTTGCTGGAAAAAAAACCTTGCGGCTTAGTAGGTTTTTTAATCACCGTATTGAAATAAAACAAACAAACCAATTAAAGGTTTCGATTGATTGGAGGACTTACAATCAATCAATTACACCTCGGAGACAGGTTCCCGGTTCGCATGTCATAATATAACAAGTAGGTTTTTATTGCGGATATATGTTTTTCATTTTTATTTAGCAAAAGATCACATTTTCGAAATATCGAACGTTTGGTTGAATGAACCTCCGCTGAAACTGTTTTGTTGGAATGGTAGCTAATGGAATACATTAACCCTGTCGTGCCTGTTGTAGGAGTAATGCAAATTAGAATGCAGCCAGCTCTTGAAACTTTAAGAGCTCCGTACACACTCAGACTAGACACAAAATAAAGGAGAAAATATTCTTTTGCAAATACAGATTTGGAAAAGTATCTGAATATTTCGTGGAAGTAGTGCACTAATAAAGAGGTAGGAAAAAGATCTTAAGTACAGAAAAAAAAATCCCAAATATTGCCCATACATTTCCTCTTAATCGCTTGATATGAGATTTTAAATCTTAGAGGAGGTCTTAAATCTTAATGTTATTTTTCATTTTAATTTAAAAAAAAATATTATTACGCAATTAGGTCTTGTGGCTGCGATATTGATTTATAAATATGATTGCTTTCACCATGATAGTAATGGAATAATGAAATGTTGCAGGTGCTATGATTACGATCTTGGCAGCTTTGAGCATGTTTCAATGTAGGGCTGAAGAGGACAATATGCATGCATGCAGTCCCTGGATTTCAGCCTCCAATGACGTCACGTGAAAGGAATACTGGTATAAGTTTATACTAGTGAGAGAAAAAAAATATTACAAACGGACGATGATTTTTTTCTTATTTCTATTTTTATTTTGATTGTCATGTCATTCTCCAGATCGATCTCGGGAGCATCGCGGACGCGTTCCAGGAGAAGTACGGCCAAAGCCTGGTCGAGTTTATCGAGGACGATGTCGGCGGCGATTTCAAGAGGGCCCTCATCGCTCTGGCCAGTTAAATCACGGTCATCCGCATCGAAATGACCAACAAGTCTCATCCTTTGCAACACTTATGTCCATAGAGCAATTGATGGCGATATATATATACACTACCGTTTAGAACATTATTTTCAAATTATACCGAGAACATCCTTCACGATGGTGATAATGAACCGTCTGTTGATGTTCAGTATTTCGACAAGTCCCTGATATGTACCGGGCAATTTATATCATGATTATAAAGATAAAAAGGTTTTGGGGTTGGGGTTATAGCCTCCCCCCCCCCTATCCACACCCCACACACCCCACACACACCTACGCTCGGCGATTTTTCTTTTACAGGCGAAGCCAAATCGTAGAAATGTTTACAAGATAGTTGGATGTCAGCTTAGTTGTTTAATTTCGATTGTAGGACTAGGTGATCAGCACCAAAATCTATTCCACTATTCATCATGAGTATTTTTATGCAGGAACAAATCACATGAGCGTATTTTTTCTCATCCTTTTCCCTTCCTGTTTGTTAACCTGCTTCTCCCCCTCTCTCTCTCTCTCTTTCGCTTTCGCTTTCGCACTCTTGCTTTTTTGCTATCTTTTTTGCTATCTCCTTCCAGCATCCTTTCGTATTTATTTGTTGTCAAGTTGTTCTTCTCAATCAAAATAAGGTCTTACTTGTTTGTTTTTTTTCATTTCGGCAGAATTGATATGATATAGTAATTATCAATATAGTTCCAAAATAGTGCAATGATGATGTAATTTGAATGATTCATGATTTTCTTTTTCTGTGAACAGATGAAAATAGGCGTCTAAGTAACTTATCATTATAAATAGTAGTTCACCCTTCTTTTATAATTTTTGATAGCTTTGGTATATGTCCAGCACAATATGGTAATCACACTGTAGCATTGCCTCAGTCTGCTATACACTATTTTGTACCAGACGTGGAATCTTTACATTGTGTTATATATTATTTCATAATTGATTCGAATCTCATTAATGTTGTGATCTGTTTTATGTTAATGTTACCTTAATAAATTAGTGTCTTGTGATTAATTTACGTTTGAAAAAGAAATAACAGTTAAAATGACAAGTAAAGGCGTGGTCTGGTATTTGTCTTCACTTTTCATATCATAAAGGTTATAAAGAAATTTAGGCTCATGTAAAAAAAAAAATATTACGTCTTTGTAGAAATATATAGAAATACATTAAAAATTTGAAGATAAAAAATAAGATTTATAAAAAGTGCAAAGATGAGAATTGTTATGAAACCTTACAAGAATGAAAGAGAGTTGTACTCAGTGGTAATATGAAGAGTAAAATAGACATTTAACAATATCAGAGAGAAAGAGAGAGAAAAAAAATTGAGGATACAAAGCATTTTGTTGATAAAAGTAACACAGTTAAAGTCTTACTAAGAGAAGAGAGGGAGAGAGAGGAGGGAGAGAGATAGAATGGAATGTATGTGTGTGTGTGTGTGTGAGAGAGAGAGAGAGAGAGAGAGAGAGAGAGAGAGAGAGAGAGAGACAGAGAGAGAGAGACAGAGAGAGAGAGAGAGACAGAGAGAGAGACTTTGGGGGGGGGGGGAGGGTGGGGGAATTGTTACTTTATCCAAAAAATTAAATGACAACAGTTATCAGATTATTAACGTTCGTTTTATTGTGAGTCTCTGTGCAGTCCATATTTGACTTTTTGGATTATGTGTCGAAAGTTAACGTGCAGTATAAAACGCACAATACCAATAACACACTCATATTGAGAAACATCTGTGAAATAAAGAGCAGGTTGAGTTCTGTGAGCGTTGTCATTGTATTATGCAAGTGTGAAAGAACATCAGAGACTAAAATATTTCCTGAAAAGCATGGCTCTTCAAATGCCTTAATATAAGTAAATATGGCATGCAACATCATACAAATTGGGACGGATTTGTAAGCCACATGTCCATGTACTTCGATATACATCTTTCTGTGTATAGTCCTTGTAACTTTACCAAGACTGGGCCAAACTTCTTATTATTTTGATTTATTCCAAAACCTTGCAGTACACACCAATACTTATATGGTAGATGATCAACCTTTTCTGATCGATTCCACAACGTTTCTTTCGCAATGCAGTCGCTTGACCAGAACTCAACGTTGTCTTTAAACATCGCAAACCATATTAACATAATCATCACGAGTGACTTGGAATCTAAAAGCAAATACTGAAATGTGGGTATTTATTGTTGAAATGGTTAGATATTGAATATTCAGTTGCTTTGCATGGTATTATTCAATTTCAGAACGCCATATGGATTGTGCATCACGTGACTCAATCCATCAGATTACGGTGTGTTCATACTGCCTTATTTTTTAGTAACGCTGACGAGAACAACATATCTTCTGAATACCCAACTGCCTATTCCACGTAAAAGTGTCGTAGTCTAGTGGTTACGTTCCCGGACTATGAATCACATGGTTCGCGATTCGAGTCACGCCCCGAAAATGTTCTCTAGCAAGACGGTACATTCTACGCATGCCACTCTACAGCCTGGTGTAGTAAATGGGCACCTGGTAGGAATGTTATTCCCAGAGTGCTTTTATCAGGGTAGTTTTGTTAAAAGGATGGACCTACTACGTAGTACTTCCATGCTGGATCAATGGTAATACTTTGAAGGCGCATTAAGAATCCTCTGGAATGGGTATTTGCGAATTATAGCTATTGAATAAGCAAGCCTAGATTCGGACCTCGGACCCTCTAGTCATCAATCATGTAGATAAAGTGAAAAAGTACAACCCTTCATTAATCCCTGGAACTAATGACAATATCCATTGGCGTATTAAGGCGTAGGAGGACAAGATGACTGTGCCCCTTTCCTTTCAAATAGCAAGTACAAGGTCACCGGTGCTGCCACCCTCATGACGTTGCCCCAACCCCCTTAAATACCCTAAACATTATGTCATAGATAACATTAACTTATTTTGGGGTTTGCCTCGAGCCATGAAAAGCTTTGAAATGCTTCATAACACAGCTATTCTCACAACCTGCATAAACTATTATACCCCAAAACACACATCGAAAAGTATGAATACACGATCAATGAAAACAGAAAATGTACATCATATAAACATATACAAATAATGGGAACGTGCTCATCACATGACAATCGGAGTAAAAACTCTCCGTACTTGTAGTTAACGTTTAGTTGTGCAGTTGACTTGGGCGGTAAAGCTTATACTATTTCGTGTGAAAGGACTTCCAAGGAAGGTGCAGTACTGTCAGTAGGTAAATGTAGAGCAAATGTTCTCCGATAATTACATGATTGTATTCAGACTTCGATCAAAGTCATTAAAATCAGGAAAATATATGGGGCAATGTCATCTGATGTTCGTATTATCTTTGTTCAAGTTGCATCGCGATGAGACTCAATTACCTTGCAACTTTATGTCATATGTAATTAAGTTATATAAATAGTACCAGAACAAATTTTTTTTGTCGAAAGCATCAAAACTTGTGTAAGGTTCATCCGACTTCGAATCTATAGCATGCAACATATTACTTATTAAAACAAAATTTCATTGTAGCGTTGCTCTGTCAGCATGGAAAGATGTTTTATTTAAATCCTTGAAAGAGCAATGGTCTCGTTACGAGGATACCCCGGGTTCGAAACCAAAAGGTATTTATCCTCATAAAGCACCTTACCCCTGAAAATACCGCGGATAGGACGTAAAGTTGTAGATCGTTCTGGTTGATTATCTACAAGAATACAACATTCAGTCATCATTCAGTAACATTCAAATCGTATTATTCTAACGATGTGTGTTACTTGTTTCTTCTGCAGTGAATTTCTTTGCTGGAATTCAAAGCTCTATTAAAGTCAAGATGGGTCAAAACGAGTCAGCTCCAGCCGAAAATACAAGTGATCAGGTGAGAATTTTTAAATAGTATTAATATTTATATCATGGTTATAATGGTAATGATGGTGATGATGGTTGAGATTTTGTTGTATTTTTTTTTTATTATCTCATACATGTTTATATATATTGCATTTTATATCACATGCAGTTGATTGTTATATTGTTGTGTTTTGGATGTGAAATAAACTCAACTGAACTGAATTGATGATGATGAAAATCAAGATAAAAATAATGATGAGGATGATAATAATAATGCTACTTATAACGATAATAATACTGATAACAGTAATGATAATGATAAAATTAATAATCATAAGTATGATACTAACGAAGATGATGATGATGATGATGATGATGATAATGATGATTATGTGATGATAAGTCTGCTCACAAAGAAAATTGCTGCTTATTTGAAACCTCCGAAATACTATTCAGTATTTATTTATTTTTAACGTTCAGCGTGGTTCTGTATACATAGTGCTTTAAATAATATCAACTTTGTATCGAAGTCCAAATCACAATTGTGGGGTATTCTTTGAAATGTAATCGTGTTTCGAAGAGGATAGATTTTTGTTGCCAACCCTCTACAAGGGATTTTATATCAAAGATTTATGACTACCGGCGACGACAGGACGTGGAATGTGATACAGGATGTGTCGCGATTGAAAAAAAAGATTGACAGACTAACCATGAATGTGGTGTATCCATTTTTTAATCTTCCTGAAAATCCCTGACAAGATAAAAAAAAAAGAAAAAAAAAAAGAACAAAATATGTATTTTGGATGAAAAAAATAATAAAAAGGTTTTCTTTTTTTATTTTATTTTGCCTGAAATCGTTCTTCTCTTTATTACCAGTGAGGGATAGATGGTGGGGAAAGGAAGGAAGATAGTGAGGGAGAGATGAATAGAGGGTGGGAGGGCGGGAACAAGCTAATGCGGTTGTACCAAGAGCGTCAACTAGACAAACTGTTTCAACGACTGGCAGGAGCAGGTTAAACACATTTTTTTCTTCTTTTTTTTATCTTGATAAGTTTTATTGATCAGAAAACACAATGATTGACAGAATATGCGTTACATTTTTTTGGCCGAAAAATAAATGAATAATCATATTGTTTTATACTTACATTCATGTAGTTTCATATTAAAGTGTAACATACAAAAAATGAAGCATAATACTTCTGCATACCCCGGCGGCACATCTATCTATTGATAATTAAGCCAAATTATTTCCAACAAGGAGAACAATTGCCCCAATAGGATAAAACTGAGCCTTACACATAAAAATTTGCCTATAGATCTTTAATTATTTCAACGAGCATAGCAGAAGAAGAACAAAATATTAATTTGAGGGATTTGCTTGGAACAGGGAGCTACCACCCGTTCTTCTGGATTTTACTTCTCCCAAATCAGACTTTGGTTCTTTCAAGAGATTTATCATTTCGGTTTTATGAATTGTGTCCATATGGATGTTATCATTATCGTAATTATGGCATTATAATACAAGTGAACTATCAAAAAATGAGGGCTACATTAAGATCACGTAAAAAAACATATACATGTATGTTAAATTCATCTATTTTGTTTCAATATTGACATGATCATTCCACCCTCCCATATTTACTCTGAGTCTAAACTAATACATATGTTTTTAGTAGGAATCATACATCATAGTCCAAATTTGCATCCATGACATATGTAGGATCTCAATTAAAAAAAAAAAGTATTATCATATACTGTACCCTGGGATGCACTACATGGCCTCGGTCATAAACATATATTATGCAGAATTAGACAGACCACAATTATTCTGCTGGTACATTCAGACTATTCTCTCCGCCAATTGTTACGCGATTCTCTCTCTCTCTCTCTCCTCTCTCTCTCTCTCTCTCTCTCTCTCTCTCTCGGTCTCTCTCGGTCTCTCTCTCTCTCTCTCTCTCGGTCTCGGTCTCTCACTCTCTCTCTCTCCCTCTCTCTCTCTCTCGGTCTCTCTCGGTCTCTCTCTCTCTCTCTATCGGTCTGTCTCTCTCTCTCGTGACTACTGCACGTGACATTTCTCTTTTATTTATCAATGTTCTGAGCAATAACGTATTGTTTTACTTTTTTTATGGGACATTTACCAGGTATTATCTTTCTTCTCGGGGAAAAACAAGATGATATAATCGCGCCTTGCATATGAAAATTATTCGAGGTCATTGCAATATTTTATTTACCGCAATCGAAATTTACCTTATCGAAAGATACAAAGGAACTTTCTGAGGTCTGCCCTTTTTCTCTTCCTCCCCTGCTTGTTGCTCTGGTATACCCCATTTATTTTTATTTTAGCAAAAACGTCATTTTCATGATCTTTCTTTCTATCGCCACTCTCTCTCTCTCTCTCTTTCTCTCTCCCTCTCTCTCTCCTTCTTTCTCTCTCTCTCTCTCTCTCTCTCTCTCTCTCTCACCCTCTCTTTCAATTTTTGTCTTTCTTTCGCTCTCCTCTCTCTCTTGCTTTGTATAGCTTTCCCTTTCTCCAACCTATTGTACTTCACCATCCTTTCATTTAAAATAAGAAGAAAAAAAGAAGACTTCCTGCATAAGACCACCTTTACAAAAATATTTGGGCATATAATGAAAATTATGCATCAAAAACTCTATAAATCGACCTTAGTAGATATATTTATCCCCCCCCCAAAAAAAAAAAAAAAAAAAAAAAATTCGACATTATACCAAAACAAATGCTAATAACTAACCAGACAGCCAACCTCAAAGATTATAATAAAACATGTAACATCAGAATGTGCAGGTATGGTTGTACTTCATTTATCATCTTTAACTTTTGTCCTTCATTCTTTTATTGTTATATGGGCGTAACAAGGACAGAATATCCCTCATCTTTTAATAATAGTAATTAAAATAATATAACTTTCTGAAAGGACACTTAAATTGACCTGTAAAACTGGGCAGTACTAGTCATTTCTTCCTGACATTTTGTCGAAGTAGGACAGACCTTTTAAGAATTGCAAAGATGACGACAATTTCGGTAAGATACACCATGGTTTCGATTGAGCTGAATTGAGTTTGATAAGCGTATATGTTTTTATTTTCCTTGTGTATGTTCTCTTATATTTAAGGGATTATTGTTACAAAGTACATGTATCACAGAAATGGGTTTATATATTGTTTTATATTCATTGCATTCTCCGCAGTCCTAAATTCTTTCTACTTATCTTACTTTCATTTCCTCCCCCTTGTTTGATTTAATTTTTTGGGGGCTATTTTATTTACCCTTCAAACTATCATTTAACCCCCTCCCCTCTTTCTCTCCCCTCCCCCTGTCTCTCTCTCTCTCTCTCTCTCTCTCTCTCACTTTATCATATTTTTTCTCTCTCCCACTTCTTTCCCACCTACTCTCATTTCTGCTCTCATATGTCTCCTTTTAAAAATACATTTTTGAACATTTATCAGCCATATTTATTTATTTCTTACTTTTGTGTTGGGTGGGGGGGGGGGGGGGGGGAGGGGCTCCAAGACAACCGGAGAAATCGTTAGTGTTGCATCTACCTTAGATTTAGCTTTAGGGCGCTATACCGTATAGGTCAGCTGAAATGTTTAGTTAAAGGTTGAAACTAAGAATTCGGCAAGGGTAAGATTATATATATTTTTCCTCTTGCTTTTCAGCACTTTCACCTTTTTTCATAAAGGGACTATCTCGACATACCGCCTTGGACTTTTATAGTAACCTTTGTTATATGCATAATGATTTGCATCTGTGGTGTATTTTTTAATTTATATGTGCATATGCTTTTACTGGAATGGAATAAAATTGAGCTATAACTTGATCGCAGGGATATTTACACCGAGCTTGTATGCTTTAACCTTTTTTTCTCTAGGGAACTGTAAAACCAGCTGTCCCTTTCGATAAGGATGCTGACGCTACGGCACTCTATGAAGCTATGGCCGGTTTCGGTAAGACATTCTCATTTTATCTTCTTCAATATTTGATATGTTTGGCGATGTCCTAAGCGGCGTCACAGGGCCATTTTGAATAAGGGTGTCGGGAAAACAATTATGGAGTTACAAGTTGTAGAAAAAATAAAGAAGATCGAAGATTAGAAGATTCCAAATTTAACATTCAGTGGGATAAAAACCACTAGCTCATATTGTTTTTTGTTTCGATTTGGAGACAGAGGTTCCATTTTTTCTTCTTCAAACAGACGAACGAACCAACAATTTTGCCAACAAAGATATATGATAGGCTTAATGAAAAAAGGGCAAATATAAGGGCAATACAATAAATATCACTCCGTGCCCCTTTTTTCAAAGTGCCCTGGTTAATTTCTGCAAAATTTGAAATCGTGTTTTCCACTTTTTCATGACCGAAGGTACGGATGAGGACGCCATCAACGCTATTCTTACCAAGAGATCAAACAATCAGCGACAGGAGATAAAGGAAGCCTTCAAGACCAAATACACGCAGGTTTGTAAATATGTATTTTTATATTTCATACCTGCAATAGTAGCTCCGCCAAACCAACTCCAAACCGACAAGCTCTTGCTCATTCGGTGTAATGATTTTTTTTTTTTTTTTTTTTTTTTTGGGGGGGGGGGGGGTCGATCTGGTGTCGGTTTCGTTGGTTTGACTAAGGGTACGTTTATGCTCAATTTTGAAGGCAGAATGAACGATTTGAAACGCTCATCGTAAACGCTCATCGTAATCACAGTTTCACGGTGTACTGTTTATGCTCACTTCTCTGGCTCCTCCAGGCATGATTCTGGCTCGCGCTCTGCAGCTGGATTCGCAAACCTCCACTGCGCATGCTCTGTAGAGGTCAGTGCGTTGACCCCATTTAAACGCGTTTACAAAATAATGATTGTGCGTTTATGATTCCCCAGGATCGCTGATCCAAAACGCACCTTTTTGTGAGTTAACGATCGGCGATTACGATCGCCATTTTTCGTTGATTCTACAAAAATGAGAAAGGACGCAACCGTGTTTTGAACTTGACGCGTAACAGATGCCTCATTATGGCCAGAAAAAAGTTGAGCATAAACGTACCCAAGGCATTATAAAGGAGCTCCAAAGGAGATCTGCGATAAATCCCTGGGGGAGTTTCACAAAGATCTTAACTTGAACTTCTTTTCTAATAGTTGGACTTAACAATTATGGAAAGCTCTTAGCATCTTTGAAAATATTTTGTAAAAGTTATTTTAAAAGGCATAAAATGTTGATTCGAATTATTCATATATTCTATTTCAAGGAGATTTCATGTTTTTATGAAAAGGCTTAAATACTTGAAATTTTGCTTTTTAACATATTTTATTTTAAGGCTACGAATGGCTCTCCATAATTTTTAAGTCCAACTTAGAGTTAAGTTCACATTAGGATCTTTGTGAAACACCCCCTGGTCTAATGAATTTATCGGCAACTGCAGTATCATCTGGATGCTCACGTTTTCCATAGTAAAAAAAAACCTTTTGGAAGGGTAGACAATTTTAGTTTCTTGGAATGAAAGGAAACATTTTGCGATATGTTCGCGATTTCAAATAATTTAAAATACTCAAAAGAAATTAAGTACATGTAGGTTAAACAATGAGAAATGCGACAATTTTGTTACATCCACTAAACACCTAACCTTCTCCGATACGTTCCAAATGGTCATGATGGTCACCACTATATACATATAAGGGTAAAACTGTGGTCATTTGACTCGTGAGCCAACGGTCTTAACTCTCTTCCGTATTTAGACGTAAATTATTATATTTTTTTAAAGAACTTATTCTTTCATTTAAAATATATTCTACATAATGCACACCAAATACTACAACAATTTGTAGAAGTGTCGTAGTCGAGCCGTTCAAGCACTTGATTTAAAATTCGAAGGTCGTGGTTCGATCCCCGACACGGCACTAATTGTCCTGTGGCAAGGCATTAATCTTCATTTGCCATACTCGACCCAGGTGAGGTAAATGGGTAACTGGCAGGAATTGATTCCTTAAAATGTTGGAGCGCTGTAATGGCAGCTAGGCTAAAGCCGGTGTATTAAAATAATAAGAATAAAATTTCTAGATAGACGGCGCTATAGAAATGCCTATAATTTTTAATCATTATCATTATCTCTTTTCATCATGTTCCGCTCTTCTTACTTGTGTCACGAAGGACCTTGTCGATAGCCTGAAGGATGAACTGAGCGGAGACTACCGCAAGACTGTCAAAGCTCTCATGGATGAACCTGCAGTCATGATTGCGCGATGCCTCAACAACCTGTGCCAAGTGAGTTTAATACAGCTCCTCACTGATACCCCTGTACTAATGGAGACACCAGTCAGTACCGCAAAGTGCGGACAAGTTGCTTGAGACATAACAGAAATAGCAATGAAGAAACAAAACAATATTCAAATACTAAATGTTCAAATACATCTTTAAAATATCATCAATCTATGATAATGTTCCTTTTTTTGGTAATGAAAAGAGTTAGATTGAGCCAATGAATATAAATAAATATTAATATTAGCACAATTTTTTCAAAGAGTACTGCAACGAAACTTAAGTGATTTCCTCATGTGTAATCTCACGATATTTTTTCTTCAGATATAAACTGATAATCATACATGGTTAAATTAACTTGAGATAAACATTTTGCCATGGAATCATAAAACTTGTTATTCTTCAGCAATTTTTTAAAGTCCAAATCCATAATTAATGCTGGATACGTTTTGTTTTTTCTTTATATTCTTTTTTGATTTCGATAGTGTGGTGGTGATAAGATGGAAATCGGTCTACTCGAGATCATCTACCCACTCTCTGCAACGGTAAGTGTAAACCTCCTGTGTTAAATAGATCAAGGTATATCAAATGTCATTCGGTGTTTGGTGATTTGATGGCTAGTTTGTTTCCCCTGACTGCTAGGAAAGTACTAATGGCTTTGAATGCTCTCCGAAGGGGCTTGGTAATGAAAAGTAATGCCTTACGAAATGGCACCAGTAAATCGACTTGGTTTGGAACCCTGGACCTCTCGGTAACGAGACTACTGCCCTACCGTAGACAGCCAAATTTAGGGGCAATCTCTTGTTATTGTGAAATCAAGGTGTTCTAAAGAGGTGCGATGGCTTTAATAGCGGTAGGGCACTAGTATCATAACCGAGAACTCCTGGGTTCCAAACCAAGCCGATGAGCTGTTTTCCTAATGCCTATTACCAACTCCCTCTGACAGAACTTCAGGCCACACCTTACCAAGAATTAGTAAGTTCTGAATTTAAGCTGACATCAAATTTTACTTTATTTTGGACCAGTTCAATAAAAGTTGTTATCAATAACAACTGTTTTATTCTTATGACAAATTTCCTTTTAGCCAATCAAATGCCACGACCTCAATAGCTTATTAGAGTTATGTAACTTTGTTATTGATATAAAGTTTTATGAAACAGGACCCAGATTTATGCCCTAGGATACATTTCTCAGATGTTTACAATACATGAGTCTGAAACGGTCATTACCGATGTTAACCTGTGTTATCATAATATATTTTAGCAATAAGACCATCTTCATATGTTATATTTCCCTAGGACGTTCTTGGAATTGCAGCTATATACAAAGAGAGTAAGTTTCATATTGTTTCTTTCGTAATTGAATTGAATTGCCATTCATTGTCCCTTTCGGGAATTAATTTTTTTCTGTTATTTCCTGCTCAATGTTTCAGTGGTAAAAGTGACCGATCCACTTTAGTATTTTAGTTCTCATCTACGTCAGAATTTATCAACCGTTCATTAATTTGATGTCATTTGTTTACATGATTCTATGCCATCGACACACTAAGGTGTATCTCCCGTGGTATTGTTTTCTCAACTGTTTTCACCTGCTTTCTATCACATGAGAGTTAAATTGTAAGTTTTAAGCTCAAGTTCAACAATACAAAAATAGAATTAATATTGAGATTTGCAGGCGCGTGGATGAGACTAACACAACATTTTGTGGAGCGCAAGAGTAAAGAATGATAATATTTGGGCTCAAAATTGTTAAGAGGAGTTAATCAACGTAAACAATTGTCTATCACATAATAGGCAACCCTTCTTCCGCAAATAATTTACTAAAGTTTGATGAAATACGATACTTTGACAATTTATCTTTTCTTATTTTACCGTAATTTTGGTATGTATATTTGCTTACTTATGATTCATTGTCAGTAATTACTTTCTAATATTTTTTGTTTGAAACGTTACCGAAAATTGTTTATGTTTATAAAAATGCAGAAGAAAATCAAATAACACCATATTATAACGAATCAAAATGCTCTTCAAAGATTATACTTTTATGTGAAAACACCTTTTACAACAAACTATGATTTATACAAATCACAATTTGGTTTGGTGTTGAGTATTTAATATACTTGTATCAAATTGATTTGGAGGTGGACGCCATGTTGTTATTACATGCATGTAGTTAATCACTGCTCTCACGGATTCGAACAATAGCAAACACATTTTATAGAAAACGTTAGTCACCTGTGTAGGCCAGGTGACACAACCACCGTGACGTGAGCGATTGGGGTTAATAATATCTAGTCATTGGTCCCGTTGTGCCCATATTTATATCAGCTGTTGTATATGTTTGCCAGGTTTTCATACATTTTCTTCTTGTCTCAGACTTAGGCTAACTCCTTATCGATTCCTGAATACTTTTGCTATAGATTTTTTATAAAACGACAAGAGGTTTCAATACAAAATACCATACTATGTTTGGACAAGCAAATGAATGCAGCTATTTCTTCCTTTTCTTTAAGCTTTCTCCACGGTCCTCCATGAAGATGTAAGCAAGTCCGATACGGGACCATTCAAGGACGTCATCTTAAACATCTTAGTGGTATGTTCCATTAGTGTATCAGGGCGACCAACTTCGGATTATCTCCGGAAAAAATCTCCCCGGACAGTAGACGCAGCTACCCTTAAAATGATAATAGTCCCCCGGACAGTTTCCTCTATTAACAATTTCTCGAAAATCGCTGTTCTGAGAAAAATGACTTTCAAGTTTAGAGGTTAGAGCTTTTTTAGGAGATGGGTATAATCCATTTTTAGCGATGGGACAAGAAGAAGCATAGTAAACACTGATGACTGAAGAATTTTGTGCTTATTTTGGGTTTTAATTATAAAATAAATGAGATTTTTGTGCAGGTTGACTGTTTAACCACAGCACATGAATACACTCCCACTACACATCATAAAATGGTAAAATGGTCTATCCATAAACATTATTGCCATACTATGGTAAAATTGTCTATCTTCTAATTAGACCATCAACACTATTGCCATACTATGAAAAAGATAGCTCGGTTTACCTCCAAAAGATATTACCGACAATGGGCTAACTCAAAGATAGACCGTTTTACCATCAAATCTGAAGGAAAATACAAAAAAGTACCAAGAAAGCGGAAATTATTTCTAAAAGAAGACATGATGGGATTTATCGATAGCACTAGTGGAAAAAGCGCCCTCACATTACCCGAAAAGTGAATTTACCTCAAGAAGTCAAATTTTCGAGTTAGATCGTTTTACAATCTGACGGCCGGGGGGGGGGGGGGGTTAATGACGTAAGTGTTATTTATGCTTCACTTTTCCTATGATATAACAATAAGCTTAGCGAATTCGAGCAGGAACTTTGTTGCCCGCAGTTGCCATTTATTTACATGTTAAAGATTAAAAAAGTAGTGTAATTTTTGAGGCGGTTTACTACCGCGTCGTATCTAAACGAGCCACAAGCAAGTTAAGCGGGTAGTTGGGGAGGGGGGGGGGGGGGGTGTTACCTAGGGTAGGTGTCCTAACGGGTATTTCTTCTTTGTCAGGGGATAGGATTCTGGAGGCAATTTTTTTTTTTTTTTTTGGGGGGGGGGGGGGGGGAGGTTTCAAACAAGACCGCAAATACTTTCATGAAATTAACTCAAGTGCAATTTCAATATCCTGTATTCAATTATGGATTATAGAAATCACTTTCGGATTACGTCATTTGTCATTCTCTTCTTAATAACAGATGTTTTCATGTCTACCTTTTTCTTATACTTTCAGGGAGAGCGTTCGTCTTCAATCCGCGTAGACACTGCTGCCGCAAATGATGATGCCGATTTCTTTTTCAAAGTAAGCTCTTATTTTAATACAAAGTTTTGTTTAAATTATCATTATACTACTCGTACTAACTTTATTTCAATATGTTACACACCTCAAATTAGCACGGCTTTCTTTTGAATTAAAAAAAGTGATTTATTACTTTTGTTATTTATTATTTTTTAAATTAAAACAAGTGATTTATTACTTTTCAGATGGAGAAGAGCTTTTTGTAGACCCCCTAAAATATTCTTTGATGACGACGGTTCAGTAAACAACGTTCGTTAAAATGTAATAGATTAAAGTAAGGTTCGCATTGAATTAACTGATATGACTAATTGTCTGTTTTTATTTAACGGTAGAGACATTGTATTGTTCGTTATACGTAAACGTCCAATGTTACGAGAAGGCAATAGTTTTAAACTGTTGTAGTTTAAACCTACATACTCTAATCTGCTGAGTACATAAACACTATGGAAAATGTTTGTCTCGTAATTGCATCAAAGCAATAAGATATTTCTTACATTTACATCAATGTTAAAACTTTCTTTCTAGCTTTTGTATTCAATCTGTTGTGCATAAGCTATATGAGTCATGCTGTAGCAGTAGCCTTATATATGCATAATTATTATATCGTGATTTTGTTTGTCAAATGTTCAGACGAAGCCCGAGGATTGGCAACTGCCCAATGAGCGTGTCGAAACACTGTTTGGGAGGGCGAGTATTTCCCAGCTGCGACAAACGTTTACACAAGCTGACGCGGTATGTAGAATAAAACTTTGTTTTGATAATCTAATGTTTTACGAGGGTTTGGCTACATGGACGTGTGTTTAGTCCAGAATCTGGACGGTTTTATTTAATTTCGCGATGGTGATCTCTCCCATTCCCTACCTGCTGCAAGCCGAAGATGGCGTGATCAACGAATCCGTATGCATAAATGGTACGCCCAGCTCAATTTCGACTGGCGTAGAAATTCGGGGATCACGTGTATGGTGCGCCATTTGGCCTTTAATTCGGTTAAGCATTGTTTATCGCTAATAAACAGTTTTTTTCGAAAATTATTGGGCAAATGGCGAGCGATAAACTATGTTTATCAACTGATAAACAGTGTTTATTGAGACAAACTTAGTTTATCGAGAAAACTCCAATGATTCAGATTAACATAACAGATTATCTGAATTATTTGACAAATGGTGCGCCATACACGTCATCTTCGGCCTGCAGCAAGTTTGGAGGATATCATGAAAAAGTTAAATCGGTCAGATTCTGGACTAGGTGTGCGCACGCATGTGCCTGTGTGCGTGTGATGATGTGTGCGTTCTGACATATTTAGGTACTGATCACCTCTTGTTTTCGTCGGAATCTTTATTCTTAATTATTTATTCTTTATTTATTATTTCTTTCTTTCTGTACGTTTTTTGTCTTTAGATTTTTTATTTAATAACAAAAATCCAATCACCATCAATTTGCGTTCTGACATATTTAGGCACTGATTACTTCTTGATTTCTTCAGAATCTTCATTCTTTATTCTTTATTTTCCATTTATTATTTCTTTCTTTCTGTACGATTTTTGCCGTCATATTTTTTTATATTGAAAAAAAAGATCCAATCACCTTCAATTTCCCTTGGTCAGGGATAAAAATCTTTTTTTTTAAAAACTTTTATAATCCAACATATTTATATAGCACATATCACAATTATGTTTCGTGAAAATTAAGCGATGTACAGAAGAAAAGGAAGAAAAAGAATCGTCTTCAGATAACGTTGGAAATTGTTTATGACACAATACTGACTGCGGAGCTATTATGTGCCGTTAAAGGTGTAGTATTACCGTTGGGACTTCCCATATAAAGATGTAAACATTATAATATGGATATCTGATTGCTTTCTAATGGATTTTGTTTGCAGCAATTTCAGGCCAACAATCTGAGTTTGGAGAAAGTTATGCAGGATAGCAAAATGGATGAAACTCAGAAAGCTGCCTTCACTGTTATTTGTAAGTTCTAAATTTAGTCGTCGTCGTCGTCGTCTTCTTCTTCTTCTTTTATTCTTTTCCTCCTCCTCCTCCTCCTCCTTCCTCACCTTCTCCTTTGTTAGCCGCCTCCTTCTGCTCCGCTACCCCTTCTCCTCCGTTCCTCCTTCTTCTTCTCCTTCTTCTTTTTCTGCTTCTTTTCCTTCTTCTTCTCCTCCTCCTTCCTCATTTTTTAGCCTTCTCCTTCTCCACCTTCTCCTCTGTTCCTCTTCTTCTTCTCCTTCTTCTCCATGTCTTTCTCTCTCTGTATCTTCTTCTGTCTTTCTTGTTTACATTATTCCTTTATCCCTTTATGAAAATCACAAAAAACAATATTTTACGAATTGTGATGTTAATTAATCCTAATCTCATGGGAATTTGGTATCAAAATGTAATTAATTAATTGAAGTATTCCGGCATGTTTTGCAACTAAACAGGGGGCTGCATACGAATAGTTAATATGGCATTTCTCCTTCGTACTTTACTTTGTACTTTTTACTGTAATGTAATGATAATGTAAATTGAATGTAATGTAACCGTGACTAATTTCATCTCCTCCCATATGATCATATTCACAGTCAAGAGCATGTGCCAACCTCTTGGGTTCTACGTTGACTCGCTGTACTGGGCCATGAAGGGACTAGGTACCGACGATGACAAACTCATTCGCATCGTCGTAGGCAGATCAGAGGTAAGTTGGTCATACAGGAGGGACAAATATTTAAATCAGAAAAAAAATATTTCGTCCTAACCCTTTCTCTATCTCTCTCTCTCTCTCTCTCTCTCTCTCTCTCTATATATATATCTATATCTCTCTCCCTATCTCTATCTCCCTACCCTCTCCCTCCCCATTTCTCTCTCTTTAGCATTCTCTACCTCTCTCTCTCTCTCTATCTCCCTCTTGCATTCATTTTTTAAATTGGTCTAAATAAGTTTATTAGGGCAAGTGGGACATCGGATAATTTTTTCCTTCCCGCCCCCAATAAAATTTAAAATACAAACAGAGCGTATATTTCACCTTATTTCAACCCACTGCGCACTGCAACCGAGTGGTCCATGTCTTAAGCCTATAGTGGGAGAGAATTCAGTGATAATCGGGTCAGGCGCGTACGCAGGGGGGGGGGGGGGGGGGCTGGGGGTCGAACCCCCCTTAACTTTTTATGTATGTGTTTTGGAGACCCCCCCCCCCCCCACTGTTTTGTTTTTAAAAAAAAATAATAATTGTGGTACTAGGTGACCTAAAAAGTTGACCTTACCCCCCCCCCCCCCTAACAAAACGAAATATTGATCGGCCTAATTCTCAGATTTTAAGACACACACACACAAGGCCGCCATCGATTTCAAGCTTACCGCTCATGATGGCGGTCGCCTGCATTTTCTGTAATCTATCTTTTTTTCATTGAAATTATATTTGTGTTTGTATGCATCTCATTCAATTTACTTAAAAATGTATTATGTAAAATGAAGAAATATTTGTTACTTTATGTATATGATTATTTTTCATTTTGAAAATGCAGAAATAAAAAACCGCTCATGATGGCGGTCTCCTGCTTTTTCTGTAATTTATTTTTTTTCATTGAAATTATATTTGTGTTTGTATGCATCTTATTCAATTTACTTACAAATGTATAATTATGTAAAATGAACAAATATTTGTTACTTTATGTATATGATTATTTTTCATTTTGAAAATGCAGAAATATAAAAATGTGATCTTACCCCCCCCCCCTAATCCCCCTCCCCCTGCTTATTGAGCGACCGGCTGAGTCGTTGCGAAATTTTTGGGACCAAAAAACCAACAAAAATATGTCCTCTTACCCCTCCCCCCCCCCCCCAACCCCCGCTTTTTCAGCGGACGGCCGAGTGGTTGCGAATTTTTTCAAGTTTTAACCCCCCCCCCCCCTCGCAAAAATCCTGCGTACGCGCCTGAATCGGTTCAATAAGAATCTAGATTAGGAACCACCA